TGGGTCTGGGGAATGTTGGAGGAGAGTTTCTCCAAGTCCAAGGACTACCAGCCTACTTCCAAGGAATGGACCACCTCCGCCTGGAACGGCTTCAAGTCTCCCAAGGAGCTTGCTACTGAGGTCCTCCCTCACCACGAGACCAGCGTTGACAGGCAGACCCTCAACCATCTTGGAGAGGTCATCGGCAGCACCCCTGAGGACTTCCACGTTCACCGCAACCTGAAGCGTATTCTGTCCAACCGTACCAAGTCTGTCATCGAGGGCAAGAACATCGACTTCCCCACCGCCGAGGCTCTGGCGTTCGGCTCCCTTGTCACTGAAGGCCACCACGTCCGCGTTTCCGGTCAGGATGTTGAGCGTGGAACCTTCTCCCAGCGTCACGCTGTCTTCCATGACCAGGAGACAGAGGACACCCACACTCCTCTCCAGCACGTCAGCAAGGACCAGGGCAAGTTTGTCATCTCCAACTCTTCCCTGAGTGAGTTCGGCGCACTTGGATTCGAGTACGGCTACTCTCTGTCGTCCCCCAACGCCTTGGTAATGTGGGAGGCTCAATTCGGTGACTTTGCCAACAACGCACAGTGCATCATTGACCAGTTCATCGCCTCGGGCGAGGCCAAGTGGATGCAGAGAACCGGTCTTGTCGTGTCCCTGCCTCACGGCTACGACGGTCAAGGTCCTGAGCACTCCTCCGGTCGTCTGGAGCGATGGCTTCAGCTGAGCAACGAGGACCCCCGTGTCTTCCCGTCTCCCGAGAAGCTTGAGCGCCAGCACCAGGACTGTAACATGCAGGTTGTGTATATGACGAGTCCCTCCAACCTGTTCCACGTGCTCCGTAGACAGATGCACCGTCAATTCCGCAAGCGTAAGTCCTCGTCACACAACCCAACATTTCTGCCTCTCGTCGCTAACATCCTCTAGCTCTCATCATATTCTTCTCCAAGGCTTTGCTCCGCCACCCTCTGGCTCGCTCCAACATTGAGGAGTTCACTGATGACTCTCACTTCCGCTGGATCATCCCTGACCCCGAGCACGAGACCGGCGCCATCAAGCCCAAGGAGGAGATTGACCGCGTCATCCTCTGCTCTGGTCAGGTCTGGGCTACTCTGTCCAAGTACCGTGCTGACAACAAGATTGACAACGTTGCTCTCACCCGTCTCGAGCAGCTTAACCCCTTCCCTTGGCAACAGCTGAAGGAGAACCTTGACCAGTACCCCAACGCCAAGACCATTGTTTGGTGCCAGGAGGAGCCTCTCAACGCCGGTGCATGGAGCTTCACGCAGCCTCGCCTTGAGACCCTGCTCAACAACACCGAGCATCACGACCGCAAGCATGTCATGTATGCGGGACGTGGACCTAGCGCGTCCGTCGCGGCGGGTAACAAGGGACTGCACAACAAGGAGGAGCAGGAGTTCTTGGAAATGGCTTTCTCCGTCAAGCAGGACAAGTTGAAGGGCGAGTAAACGACCACACTACAGACTATACACAGCGGGCAATATGAAGTGATTCAAAAGATGGGTCACAACCGGATGAGAAACTGGTGGGGAGCATTTACCTCTGTGATATTGCAGAGGTTGTAATGATATGTACCTGTATTATGTTATACCTATTTACCTATGTTTCTACTACGTCACGTAGAAATTCGTAAATGAGGCAATCCCTTTATATGGAAAATCTTGGTGTACCCTTGGCGTCTCATCCGTCTAATCCACCATTAGAATGAGGCTGTTTCGCCGTTACTTCACCCAGCACCTTTTCTTTTTTTTTCTTTTTCTTTTTTTTTGAGATTCGCAGCCCCTGGAAACGGTACACGGCCGAAGTTGCAGGCAGATCAGAAATAGTTCCACCACTAATCCATCAACCCCAAGCCGCCTTACACGTGGCCCGTTCTTGTCTGACCAGAAACATGCCCAGGAAGTCTACAAACGCCATCATATTAGGTAAGGTCAGAGGCAAGGCATCCAGGGACTCAGATGTCACAGTCCAAAGCCCCAGTTTCCACACAGCAATCAGTCACTTCTATGTCTTGGCCCGAGGAACAAGCATCTCGCTGGCACGAGTGCCCAATGCAAATGATGCCGTTCCGTTCCGGCTAAAGCAAGCAAGTGCTTCAATACGAATTCGAAACCATAGCCAGAGCCACTACGTGGGGCCTCTTTAGTCTAAAGACAAGGGAGGGCCGGACTGTGGACTCGAGCGTCTCCTTTGACGTGTGTACAGCGTGGCATATAGGGACTGCTTGACGAACGAGCAACCCGATTACTTGCTGAACAACAGTGTTTCTTGCTATTAATATTACCCATATCCAAGCTTCAGGTCAAGCAAATATGTGCTTCTCGGTGGCAACGCAGTCTCGAGTTCGTTTCCAGCCACGTCTTTGGCAAGAGATCTTCGAGTTGCTCAGCGGACTAAGGACCTTGATGATTACATTGTCTCCGACAGCCTCAAGTACAGCGATTCCTTAAAGAGGGCCAACAGCCATGACGTACAGGACCGCAAGACCAATTTGAGAGCTGACTTGGTCGAAATGCGTAAAGCCCGTATGATCTTGACTCTGCCAGTCGCGTTTCCACTAATCCGGTTCCTCGATCCGGGGGCTGCAGCCAACCATCCATCTTGGTCCGTTAGACTCGAGATGTTTGGCGGGATGCATCCCACACTGCATCGGAAGACGCTACTACTGGAGGACAACCAACCTCAGATGATGGTAGCTCATGACTCTCTTGGCCCGCGGGGGTGGGCGTTGTTTGCGGGGGGGTTTCGCGTCCAGATACTATGTCAGCGTGAGCCAGTCTAGCATCCGGCATTTTCATCGGCTTGCCTTTACAGATATCTAGGTGCGGAAGTGAGCGATTGGAGGCTTTGCAGTACGGCGGCCAAGGAAGCTTACCATGCAATGACCTTCCCTGTCGAGGAACCGTCCATGGGGAGGTGGTACGTACACTAATCGCAGCACCGTTCATGTCACCCACTGCATCCATCGTAAATTGCAGCGAGTCCCGACATTTTGAGCATCTTCACGTCGCTCCGTGTCGTCTATTTGCTGGTGCAGTGCGCGTTAACTCAACGGCTTCCGTCACTAGCAGCGCCCCAGCTTCCTAGCTCAGGTAGCACCGCTTGCCTACGCTATCGCATCTCATCTTCCCAGTTAGGCCTATCTCTCGCGTCATTCTCCGATCCGACAGAGCCGCCACCACCGTATCCTAGCACGGTGTGTACGCAGCACATCCCTCTTGGGCCAACAGGATTACGAGCCCTATCATCTGCCGGAGGGTAACGCTGGCAGCTCGCATCTCTCATGCTCTGGGCTCTGCGCTCCTGCATATCCGACCCATCCATCCATCATCGCCGTGTGACGAACAGGCAGAAACAACAGAGCAGGTAGAGCGGCGTAAAGCAATACGGAGCCCGACTTACATTGGCGCTGATACGCCGACAAGGCGGAAGCAAAGCTGTCGCGCAGGGCGCCTTCACGGACAGGCAAAGACGGCGTCGTCATACCGGGGTTTCCAACCATTACCATTGGATGTTAATTGGCTTCCTCCAGCCTACATATACAGACCGGTCCATGATACTAGCAGACTCCTCACTAACTATTCCAAGGGCGAGCCTTAGACGCATCACGTCCGTGTTCGCATCCGCATTGCCTTGCTGCGGCGGGTTCAGGACAGCAAGCGTTACGGCCAACCAGCCACTAGCAGTTACAGCTACTGCATTCGTTGTTCGCGACTGACCGACGACCACCCACCCCTTCCTTCCCCCCATTGCATCACGAGCTCCATAGCCCCGCCAGTCCACCTCCTCGTCTCGACGTTGCAAGCGTGTGTGAGTGAGGGGTTCCGTCCACAAGTTCAATCGCACCGAGGTTTCGCAACAGCGAGGCTAGATACTTAGGCCAGCAGCAACGCCCTACGGCCCCTACCACGAGCGGTCCTCTACCGCCGAACCTCACCTCACCCAAGACAAAACACCCTCCCTCCTTACCCCCCTCTACAGTGGGTATCGCTGGGCGTCGCACGTCATCAAACAACCCAGGGAACTTTGACAACTGATTCCAGCTAATTTTCCGTGCTCGTTCAGCGCTAGTCGAGCGGGCTGCTTCCCTGGTGCATTGGAGCGCGCAAGTCGCAGCAGACAGCCATGGACGACATAGGCATGCAGACCCCTGATGATGCATTGTCCTATATAACCCAAATCGGTGAGTCAGTCGTTCACCCTATTCTCTCCTCCAACCATCTACCCCCGTGCAGCGTTGCCCACCCGCAGTTGGCTCGTGGCATTTTATGGGGAAGCTCTCGTCGTCCTCCCGCCACATGCACTTTTGGCTTAGTTGCCCTTTCCTCGTGCGATTGCGCCGATCCCTGTTACCGCATCCTCTTTCTTGTCACGCAAGCCTCTCCGACTTCGACCCTTCGATGTCGGCGCAAGCTGAAGGTGCGCGATGGATGCGCCACGGCCGAATCCCACGCTCGCTGGGCCGTCGGTCTTCAAACTTCAGATACCCTGGCCGCGTGCGCACATGATTGTTTCTTTCACCCCTCCCCACCGGTCAGTGCTAAGGAGCCCTTGCAGCCGGTTTCGCGACTCGGCTCCATATGCCCGAAAGCGCCGTGGGGGTGGCGGATGGGGATCTAAAGTTCCTCTACATCTACAACGAGCGAGTGCTCAGGCTCATGCTTCTGAGCTACCCGTAATAAAGACGGCTCAGTAGTAATTGCTGCACCGTGACATGCCGACTAACTCGTGCCCAGGTTACTCGAACTCGTCGCGCTGTGGTTACTGTGGCCGCCAAGGCAAGAGTCAGTCAAAACGTGAATGCCATCCCGCATCCCCAAGGCCATCCCTCGTGAATTCTCCGGAACCTTGTGTCAGCATATCGTGTTCTCCCACGTCACGGCGTACCGCCGCATGCCCTCATCACACTAGCTGCACGTGGGCTGGCCAAAGGGCGACTCGCAGCTAGCCACTGTGAGAATACGGCGCGTGAACAGTTTACTAACATGGACCATCGTTTTTCAGGCTTCTCTTACTATGCTAAAGCCACATCCCTCACTCCCGAATACTATCAGACCCTACTTGACCACTATTGGAGGCGCTCCGGGACGACCCTCTACCGGCCGGACCAGCTCCACGCGTGCTGTGTTCACTACACTTTGCGGCTGGACTCCACCCAGTTCAAACCCACCCGGGATCAGCGTCAAACGATCAACCGCTTCAACAAGTTCCTGACCGGAGAGGCCTACGCAAAGGAAGCGGCCCGTGTCCATCCGCGGACACGCGAACAGGCAAAGAAGCGGGATTCCGAATTCGATCTCACCGAGAGGGTCCACGAGGCGGAGTACGACTCGCTGCAGGTGCCCCCCGAGCCTGCTCACGTCTTCACCGTCACGCTGGAGCATGATGACTTCACCGAGGAGAAGTATCTCGTGTACGAGAACTACCAACGCGTCGTCCACAAGGAACACGCTGCAGATATCACGAGGCGTGGCTTCCAGCGCTTTCTGTGCGAGTCTCCCGTTCAGCGCAGGACAATCACGACGGACGACGGCAAGGAGCAACGCCTAGGCTCCTTCCACCAATGCTACCGCTTAGACGGCAGGTTGGTGGCCATAGGCGTTTTGGATTTGCTCCCCCACTGCGTCAGTGCCGTGTACTTCCTCTACCATGAGTCCATCCACAAGTATGCCCCAGGAAAGCTGGGCGCCATTCGCGAGATTGCTCTGGCACGGGAAGGAGGGTATCGCTACTGGTACCCTGGCTTCTACATTCACACGTGTCCCAAGATGCGATACAAGATTGATTACACGCCACAGTACATATTGGACCCAGAGACACTGGCTTGGGATCTGATGGACAAGCGAGTTACGGACCTCCTTGACAAGAAGCAGTATCTGAGCTTATCCAAGGAGAAGCCCGATACCCCGGGAAATGGCGGCCCCAAGGAAGCCATTGAGAACACAACAGCAGGCGACGAGCTTGCCGGAGAAGACCCTGTGAGCGAGAACGGCGACGACGATAAAGATACATTCCTTTTCAACACTGGCATGCCGGGCATCATGTCGCTGGATGAGATACGCTCCCTGGACCAGATGGACCACCTCAAGCTACGGATAGACGGCTCCGGCATGCTCTTCGAGACGGGTGATCTGGTGGCCTGGCAGCGTCAGGATGTTGGATCCAGCGGGTGTTTGAAGGCCGGAATCGCAGAGTTGGTCGCGGCATTGGGACCTGAACTATTGGATGATCTCGTGGTGGACTTTTGGAATCCTCACATGTAAGGGACGAAGCGGGATGGCCGGCGTGACCATCTCACCAATGTCTCCGTGGACTGCGATCACATCGAAGTCTTGGTACAAATTCAAGTGTATAATTCAAGCTCTAGATGGACGCCTTCGCTTGATGACATGCCTTTGTGACCGTAAAAGCTTGATAAGACCCCCCAAGCATTGAATGAGAGCTTCTAGTTGGCCGTTCAACAAGCATGGGCCTTTCAGATGTCTGTATAATTTTGGAGAAACTGCCGCGTTATGTACTTAAGCTAGTACGCTCAACATCAGTGTTGGCAGTCATCGACTGACCCATCGACTGTTGGAAAGCCGATGTCAGGCCTTGTTGAGATGGCTTTCTGTGTTCATGTCTGCCTTGCTTCGAAGGGCACTTTTGTTGTCTGTTCTGACCATCCACGATCCCAATCGCATACAATGTTCCACCATCGCCTATTGGCGCATACTTGTGCCCTTCTATCATTGTCATGGAGTTTAGTCATTCGCGGGTCTGCCGTCTGTGAGATTTTAGATCAGTTCTAGGGAATGACGGAAGATACAAAGCGCACAGGTCGTTCAACTCCATCTTAGCCAGGTCGAGTATCACGCAGAGATAACGAAGAGGAGAACAACGTGTCCAAGCCCGTTATTCCAATTCTCCAGTATAGTTGCCTCGCAGACCTACGGGAGATCACGCCTGCGTTACTGCATAACGTCGCAGCGACGATAACACGGAACTGGCTGTTGACCCGGTTGGCCAGGCAAGTCCACTGCCCGTCTGATAGGATCGATCATCCACTTCAGGGTAAATAGAATCAATTGCTTCATGTGATTACCACATTGACGCGCCGGGTAGCATTGAAAAAGTCAAATACTTCGGAGGGATGAGAAGGAAAGACATCCGGTCTCCAGGAGCATTTAACCATATTAATGCCGCAACCAAGCCACTCACACCAGGAGCGGCATGCCCAGGGACGTTCTTCAGAACCATTTTGATAAATAATACTCCCACGTGGCCCCGATCTTGCGTTCAATACCAATCTCAAAGTCTATCCAGGGTCGGATCGAAGGTCCTTCATGGTCGCCCGGGGACTTATAGCATCCCTAAACTGAAAACAGTGGGCACCCGATTTCTCATCACCTCTCTCTCTCTGTCTCTCTTTCTCTCTCTCTGTGATATGAGGCCCGTTTAACCCGGTTCGGATGGTTGTGTTTTCTCGGAGTTGGTCGTGGCGAAATGAAGTTTGTCTCCCAGGGGGCGAGGTCACCGTGTAAGCATTGAATCTTCCCATGCCGATTAACCGTAACCGACCAATCGAGCTGAGCGAGCCTTGGAATAAGCTTGTATCCATCATCCATAGTTCTTGCCGATCCGGGAAGGGCCGCCACCCGCTCCTGCCTTCCTCCGCCTTACCGCCTTTCATCCCATGTCTCCCACCCAGCCTCGCCAACCAACCACTTCACCCTCAAGGTCCTCCGAACCAAGAACGAGCTTCTCGCTCTACTTAATTCAGAAAGAATAGAGTAACCATCACCAGCACAGCAGGCGGCTCCTAGGCGTAGGGGTTCAGGTCAAACTGTGTCATGTGGTTGAGTCGCCAAGGTCGATGGTTCGAATCCTACCCGAGTCAACAAAAATATTCCGCACCGGACAGCCTACTCGACGACAGGCTAGCGATGAATTCGACTTCCCGGCATGTGCACCAGAGATGTAGCTCCCACCGGGGAGTGAACTCTTTTGACCTTTCTTACCTAGGCCATCCGTCCATGAGGGTGTACAGACAGAGCGTAATATATTCCTTGAGACATTGGGGTTCCTTTACCACCTCGAGGGTCGCTTTACACTCTACGACACCCGCCTATTTATTGACTGTGACACTGTTAAAGCTGTCACTGTGTAGACTAAATATCTCTACAACGTTATTAATAGTTCCCTTGTACGGATGAAGGGACTCTGCGGCCAGCCTGTCCTAGAAGAACCTAGCTGCTAGCACCTAACTAAAGAGAACCTTTTGCCTTTTAACTACAAAGTGTAGCTATTCACACTACGTAATTACAACTACACATAGTGCTATATCTTTACATTTTTACAATTCTACTGCTGCAACAGCCTAAATTATGATATTCTATCCCTATTACCACCTGCGACAGGCATCCTACTAGCGAACGTAGCTACTACCTTCGCCTGAATCTCTGACATAGACCCTGATACAGTATACGATGCCACTCTTGATGCCGTCCTCTCTTTTCTAGACATAGAGATCTAATAATCTCAACTTTCTCCTTTTCAACATTGTACGTAAGAAGGGCCCCCTAATTCACCCAGGAACAAAGAGGAAGGACATAGAAGACATCTAATCCAATGCAATAGGTTAAGCTACATTTGTGTTATTAGCTTTTAGGAGAGATTGTAGTCCTGTCTCTATAGGAGGGGTTTGTGACATCGTCATATTGACAGCATGTAGTCGTGATCCTGTTGGCCGGGCAACAGCTCGCCGATTACACTACTTCCCTCTTATCTTATCTATAACCGCACAGCCCCACCTGACCCAGGAGAGAAGTGACGATGACGAACTGCCCTCTCCTCTGTCGCATTGTTGCGCCTCGAAACCGAGCCGGGAGACCAGCATCCACGTCCATCCGTTACCGATCTCCGACCAGCGCCCGCCCGATCACCCGCCGCCGACAATTACCTCGTCCTCATCGCAACAATCCGTTCGTCGCTAGAATCCGAGAGGAATCGCCGTTCCAATCTGTATCCCCCCGTGTCCTCCCCTGCCCTCTTCCGTCCCTGAAGCCTTCAACATGGGCGGCAACGCGAGCAAGGTCACTGCCCAGGACAAGTGAGTCTTCTGTACACCTCCCCGCTCTCCCGACCGTCAGCGCAGCATCGCCATCGGCCATCGACGATGCGAGACACTAAACCTGCTCGAATCCCCCCTCCCCACCCCCACCCAACACTCTAACACCCGCCTTCTCAACCCCCAGGGCCATCCTCGATCTCAAACTCCAGCGCGATAAGCTCCACCAGTACCAGCGCCGAATCACCGTTCTCACGGACAAGGAGACGGCCGTCGCCAAGCAGATGCTCGCCAAGGGCGACAAGCCGCGCGCGCTGCTCGCCCTGCGCCGCAAGAAATACCAAGAATCGCTCCTCCAAAAGACGGACGCCCAGCTTGAGCAGCTCGAGAAGCTCACCTCGTCGGTCGAGTTCGCCATGATTCAGAAGGACGTCGTCTTTGGCCTGCAGCAGGGCACCAAGGTCCTCAAGGAGATCCACTCGGAGATGGGCGGCATCGAGCACGTCGAGAAGCTCATGGGCGAGACGGCCGACGCAATCGCGTACCAAAAGGTTTGTCCAATGCTTCCCCGCCCCCCTTATCGCTTTTTTTAATAGAGAACTGGGTGGTGCAGCCCAGTTCCCGTTCCTACCGGGAGACGTACGATGCTAACGGAAGCCTTTCTCCACCCCACAGGAAGTCAGCGACATGCTCGGTGGTCGCATATCGGTCCAGGACGAGGAAGAGGTCGAGGACGAGCTAGCCGCGCTCGAGGCCAGCGTCGCCGCCGAAGACGCCGCCCGAAACCAGCCCAGGCAACACAAGCTCCCCACGGTGCCCGACACGGAACTACCGGTACCGGGGCTGGCAGAAGAGGAAGAAGAGCTGGCGGCGCAGCAGCGGGTGCCGACGAGGCAGCCCATGTTGGCCTCGTAGCCTGCCTGTTCACATCCGGTAGTTTCTCTCCCTATCACATCATGTCCATTTCTCTCTTTACTGTACCCGGTCCTTGGCGGCCGGTGGCGCTTGTTGATTTCCAACGCAAAGCATTCGTAGGGTCCATTTGCATTTTCAAGGAGTTGGGGTTTGGGGCCACACCGGATTTTCTTTGACTACTTGTTATCTTTTTCCCCATCACCACGCGGGCGGCGATACGACGATAGACAGGAAGGGTACCGAAATCGTGTTTGTTCTTTTTGCCTTTTTTGGGGGGTGGGGGAGGAGCTGTGGATCCTCTTTGGATCACTCAGCTGGGTCGTTTCAGGGAGTTCCATTCAGTGGATGTCAGAACCGCTCCTTAGGAGTTCAATATATGCGGTCAATTTCTCAACATGAAGCTGATGCGTACTTTCCATTCCGTTCATAATGCCGTATTCCGTCAAGTAGTCATAGATGGGCTATGCTGTCCCTCTACCAAACACAAAATCAGGAGCAATCTTGCTCATCGGCCTTGGGTATCAACGCTACACAATCCTCCTATATCTTTCTCGGACAAAAGCAGGCTTACCCTGGCTGTCATACGAAGAACCAAGGTCCATGCTTACCTTCCAGACTAATGAATATTCCCCGCTGATGCTATTCCCTCAAACGCCTTGTAAATGCTGTTGTCCAGGCATGGCCCGCCTATTCTCTTCATAACCATCAGGTTCAAGTACACTCTTGCAGTCGTGTCGCGTGTCCAGTCGTGGTTCACTCAAGCACAATCACGTCGCCGTTTGCGCGTGGCCAATATCGTTGTGCAGGTGGGTATGAATCAAGCCCTAACGGGTCTCTTGCGCTTGGCATCTGCCTCGCGTGTCGATGAACGGCAATGCCGTATGCTCCTTGTGGTGGATGATGTGGATGATGTTCGACTGGCCTACACAGTTCAGAATGTCAGTCTGAGACACAGAGTTTATCGTCAACATCTATAACTTACGCTCCGCCATATACAGGCGCCGGAAGGTCGCGCTGCATAAATCTCTCGGCCCCGGCTCTGTCGACCCGTTCATATCCGGGCCCATGATACGGAAGGTCAGCGGGGGGCGGTCGCTCAGCACGTCTCACATAAATGGCTTGTCCAGGTACATCGTTTGGCCGGAAGCGAGGCAGATCATTAGTCCGAGAATCATTGAGAGAGGGCCAGGCACGGCTGGCGTACGCTGAAGGTCCAGGCCTAACAACAGTGCGCTCTCTGAGTCGCAGGAAGCCCTCCTCTGCCAGCCCATTCCGTGGCTCCGTAGGTTGGTTCTCTCGCAAGCGAACGAAGCCTTCATCCTTTGGAATGGGCCGTTGGGGGTCCGGGCCATCGTCACGCCGAGGGCGGCGGACGGTGAGTATCTCGACATCAGGGCCAAATCTGTCCCTGACACTCTCCCCCGTGCGGAGATAGACTGTGTCTTGGTGAACATTCTGATCCTCAATCATAATGGCATTGGCCTTTTCTCCCGAGACACTGCCATGGCGTCGCTCGTGCTGGCTCTCCTGGTGCAGGATCCTGTCAACACGACCATATGGGATGGCAGAGCCATAGTCCCGTGCTGGGTGATAACCAGCAAGTCGAGGGGCGTCCTGTGGCACATTGTGGTATGTCATCTCAGGGGCGCGAACCCGGTCCTGACCTACATGCGGAGACCTAGCATGTACGGGATACGTCTGGTGGATCTGAGGCCGATGCAAGTGGTGCGTGTCTCGCACAACCGGGCCACGAGACGGGGAGATCAAGCGGTACTGCAGATCGTCACCTCTGCGCTCCGTGTACTCCACCATGCCACGGGTATAGCGTGGTGGAGGCCGCAGAGGATCAGGCGATCGTGGCTCAATGGAAGGATGCAAGAAGTCTTGCAGATTGTGACTCTCCGATTTCCCATGGCCCATGGGACCGCGACTGAGAGTGTTGCTAGTTTCATTTACCTTCTGCGTTGGAGGACCCAACGGCATGTGCTGGGATTGCGTGGGCCATGGCCGTGTTGCATAAGGACCATCTATATGGGGCCTGTCCTCATGGAAGTCGCCGCTGGACTTTCCAGAGAGAAGCCGCGGCTGCAGAAGCGGACGGCCGCCATCATTCACAGGAGCTCTGTTCTCACCAAGTGTAACAGGTCGACCCTGGGGGTATGCGCTGTGACCGGCGGAACTGTCCGCCACGCCTGGCTGGTCCGGAGGACCGCCGGGCGCTCTCTGCCGCTGCATGGCGTTGTCCCAAGCAGCATCTCTAGCAGCCTCGTATCGGCTGAAGTTACGCTCACGGTGCTTAGCATGTTTGCGTGCCCTCTTTGCGACTCTCCTAGATGTTCCGGGCGTCACATGGGGCACCGGGGATCCTGGATGAGACAACATCGCTGTCGACAAACGTTTGCGGCTGTTGGCGACACTCTGGGGTGGGACTGACGCCAACGCCATCCCGCCGATGTTATGAGGCCTGTCAATGAGTATCTCTGATGATTCGGAGTCGGGCTCCTCGCCTGAATCCTCATCATCTGAGTCGTCAGAGAGCACCACGACTTCACGAAGGATTTCGTCAAGTTGGTTTCGGCCGTTCTCGTCATCACCTCGCCACTTGACGAGGATGTCCAAGCAGAGCTGCTCGGTGGCTCTTCTGGCGTTGTGCCAGGTTGTCTCCCTAAGAAGCTCGTCATATCTGGTATGGTTGTGCCGAATGTGCGCCAGGACCGCCAGCTGCACTCGCCGCGAGAGAGAAAGGTCTTGCTGGAGTCCTACGACTGGGTCGCCTTTGAACTGTCTCCCCTGTCATGGTATGTTAGCATTCCTGGTCTTCCACGCTTCTTCCGTTGATCCACAAACTTTCTGGAAGGCATGATCGATGATTTGTTGTCGGTCGGTATTCGGGATCCGGGGGAAAAGCTCGCGCAGGGCAGCGTCCGCCTGTTTGTCGATTTCGTGTTGGTCATCAGGGATTTTCTCGACCAGTCCTCCGTCACCTTGGCCGATGAGTTCGGGTACGTAAATGTCAGTCAAGCCAAGCTCCGCTAAGGCTCGGTCCACAATGCTTTCGCGAATGTGGTAGCCGACACGGTGGATTTGCAGGCTCAAGTCCGAGGCGTCCTTCTTGGCCTTTGTCTGTAGTCAGGTCTGGTGAGCCACTACGCCCACGCCACAGTGGCGGAGCTGCCTTACCACAATGTATACCGACGCGCCTAACTCTCTTGAGATGTCCTGGCATCGCTCGGTCAGTTCAGGATTCCCGATGGGAATGTACCGCATGCCGGGAGGCGGATCCGTGTTCGTGGTGTTCTGGTTAATGAATGGTTAGTTAGTCCAACGACCGGCACACGCCGGCAGAATCTCGCCCTTTAGGCGTACCTCGAGAAGCAACGGCTTCTTCCTCTCCTTATTCTCGATGAACTCGAAATATGTTTGGTGTTTGTTGCTGACAATCGCGTTGACCGGTTTCGCGGCGACAAGTCCCGGCGGCAGGGGCGCGCTGCGGTCGATGGGCTTGCTGACCTTGCCAGCCTTCTTGTGCCGATCCTTGGCCGTGCCGCGAGGGGCTGGCTGTGTCCGTTTTTCTCTCCCCATGTCTGATGACTCCCTTTGTGATCAGCTTACCATGGTGGTTGAAGACCGGAAATCCTTTGCCCTGCCCGTCTTCCTTTGCAAGAGCCACAAAGAAAGGAGAAGAAAAAAAGTCGATAAATGACAGTTAGTGACAGTGACGACGATTGATTTCTTGCATTGAAGCCCAACACAAGATGGCGGTCAAGTCAAGTACGTCAGGCCGGAAATGGCGCGTCTCTGGGGGTAGCACCTTTCTGGGAGAAGGTGTCGACGTCAGCAAGTGCGGGACTTGCTGCCGTGCGAGGAGGAAGGAAAGCAGTAGTCACGCAGGATGTAGTAGACAAGGAAGAAAGTTCAAATGCCCGGGCGGCGGAGACTTGAATCTTGCGACCCGTCAAACAAGCGCGGCAAGAGCTTGTAGCACTTGGAGGAAAGACGCGCGGGCGATGCTCAGATGCAGAATGCTTGAGAGCATAAGGTCACAAGTTACGACTGGACGCTGGGCTGACTGAGTGAGGCAGGAAAGGAATGAGACGCAAAGTCGCCCAACGAGGTCGGGTCGCAACCCAGGTAGAGCATTCGGCTAGCTTATCACCACGTGACGATAGTGGCGGGGCTTATGTACACTACTTGGCAAGCTAGCCCGAGCAGGCTGGCAGGGGCTACAGCATTTGGCAGTGTCAAATGTGAAATCACGGCAAATAGGGGCTAGAGTCTCGGCACCCGGGCAGCCGGGGTTGCAACGAAGTCTGTCATACTCAGGGTTAGGAAAAAAGACTTAGGTATAAGTCAAGGGTTAAAAATACTTACTAAGTATAAGTAAGTAAAATTCTTCACGGCAAATACCTAAGTAGGTATACTTAAATACTTGCTTATGTAATGTCAGGATAGGAGATAATGGAGGTGTGGGGTGACTCATACTGCATCCATTGCTTCGAGTCCGTCCTCGACGCCCAACAGTCATTTCTCCGTTTCTTCTGCCCCTACCGGCCTTCTGGGGGGACGTTTAGGTTGGCGTATGGTGGATGATTCGATGCTGGAAACAAACAAGCCGTAACTGAGGTCTGAAAAGCCCCTGAACGTTGTCAATTCTGTTGCTGGGGTACGCCAACCCACGACGATAACTATTCGTAAAGCGTCCTGAAAGTTCCGGTACGATGCCGGACGGGGCCCGCCTTGGCCAGACTGCTCTGCCAATGGTTGCCCGCGATCGGACCAGGCGTTCAATGGCCCAGATAAGCTGCGAACCATCTACTAGGGGCGTTCTACACTTGTTGTGCAAAATGCAAGGAAGATATGTGGCGTTCCTGGTGTCGAAGTACGCTTGATCGAAACAGTGTTTCCCCGTGAGGTCGCCCTCTGTTCTGGACGAAGGGCGTCGCCTCCCTGCACTGATTGGGGATAATCTTGGAGCCGGGGATGAGCCAAACGAGGGCACGGAGATCCGCTTTGGAGCAGAACACTGACTCTAGACACCGCTTTTTTACATGCTGTGGTGATACCAAACCGGATGGTCGACAAGGGGTAACGAGGGGCAGATGAGGGGCAACAAACGAACTGTACACAGGGCGTGAGAGGGACAAGCAGAGATACTCGCACTGACATTGTGTTTGCTTCAATAAATGAGATACCGTTCGCGAACGAGCGAGCGCTGCCTCTCTGCGTTTGCTCACTGAGTCTTGGGTGCTTTATTTTCTTATTTTGTTACCTGTAGCAGAGATCGACGTATGGAATCATTGGTCCTAAAAGCGGCTCGGGCGGCACAAGGGCTGTCGGACTACACTGCAAACACAAACGCTGTTTGCTTCCATTTTCTTTCTGGACCTGTCCGATCCAGTCTCTCTCTACTACGCCTTCGAGACTCGATGACCGCCCGCGCAAATTCGTCGAGTGACAGTTCCACGTTCATCTTCAACGAGAACGAAGGCAGCTTCCGAGCCTATCAGCGTCCCCATCGTGCAATACGAAACCCACAATTGGAAGAGCCTGCATGAGAGCTGCATTCCCACCCAGCAGGGATTCCCAAGCCAACGTCAGGCCCCAAGTGCCGGTGACGAGAGGCCTTTGGCAGTTACCCAGTTTCCCTGTATAAGACGCGTTGTGTGCCCCTTGCTGCCTCACCTTGCACAGATGAAGAGCGATTTTCTCCCCCTCTTGGTTTCAAGCTTCACTGCCTCTTGACCTCTTTCCCTCTTCACCTTCCCCAGATTATTCCCCAGCCTGGTGAATAAACGGGGCGACCGACATTTCACCGACTACAAAACTCTGTTTCTCCAGCTGCCGCTTTCCGATCGAAGCACCAGCAGTTTCCGAACGTCAATTCTCGACCAAGATTAAGCGTTACTACTGACAGCCAAGGGCTAGTAGAGCAAGATGTTCAACAACCGCAAGTTCTCGATCAACCGGCACACCGGTGTGCCCAAGCCCAGACGCTTTAGTATCGGCGAGATTGGAGGCAACGGTAAGAACCCTGTTCCCTCCATCTCTTCTATTCAACCCATCTGAGCTGCATGAGCCCTATCAATCTCTCTTTCTTCCCTCACCCATTCCCAATATTTGCGACCGAGAGCGTAAATTCAGGGAGAGACAAGATTGCCGCTTTGGTGTCGGTGCGGGGTAGAAGCTGAACCCAGGTCCAACGCTGACTGCGTGCCCCTCGTTCCCCACACAGCTCCAACTCGGCCTCGATGACATTCCATGTCTTGGCTCTTTGGGGAACGGTGATGGTCTTGCTACCTAGGTAGATCACGCTGACTTTTTTCTTCCTCTAGAGGTCCAGTCCAAGACTCACAGACAGTTCCGTAACGCCCACGAGGGCCACCAGCCCCATGCCGGTCTTGATGCCAGCCGATCCTCCACCGGTGTCGTCTGGTGCACTGAGCGCGCCTCCGAGTATGGCTTCCTCGAGGACCCTGACTCTTGGGCCAATTTGGGTCAAGGTGCCCCTGAAGTCGAAGATGACATTGCCGGTTGCTTCCCTCGCCCCACTACCATCGACATCTCCATGGCCGGTCGCGAGTACGGCCCTACTGCGGGTATCAAGGAACTTCGCGAGGCTGTCGCCAACCTCTACAACGTCATGCACCGCGAGGGTAAGGACAGCAAGTACACCTGGGAGAACGTCGCTATTGTTCCCGGTGGTCGCGCCGGTCTGATTCGTATCGCTGCCGTTCTTGGCAACTCCTATCTCTCCTTCTTCTTGCCCGACTACACCGCTTACAACGAGATGCTGTCCCTCTTCAAGAATGTATGTATTCTTATTCGAAGCTGACATTGATAACTGCCTGACGCCAGACCAATAGTTCTCTGCCATTCCCGTTCCTCTGTCAGAGGAGGACGGCTATCACATTCACCCCGACCGCATTGCTGAGGAGATTTCCCGTGGTTCCTCCGTCATCCTGACCTCGAACCCTCGTAACCCCACCGGTCGTGTCGTTGCCAACCCCGAGCTGGCCGAGATTCAAGACATCTGCCGTGGCCGCGCCACCTTCGTCAGCGACGAGTTCTACTCTGGCTACAACTACACTAGCAACTGTGACGGCAACACTATCTCTGCTGCAGAGAACGTCGAGGACGTCGACGAGGACGATGTTCTTATCATCGATGGCTTGACCAAGCGCTTCAGACTCCCCGGCTGGCGTATCGCATGGATTCTGGGTCCCAAGGGTATGTGACTGTATTTCTAGGTCGATCCAACGTTTGCTAACAGCGCTGCGCAGAGTATATCAAGGCGTGAGTTGAAGTGACGCCGGATTGGTAATGATTGTACTGACACGTCTTAGTATCGGCTCCTGCGGTAGCTACCTTGATGGTGGCGCCAACCACCCTTTCCAGGAGGCGGCTATTCCCATGCTCGACCCCACCCTCGTCAAGGCGGAGATGGTCTTCCTCCAGAAGCACTTCCGCGTACGTCCAGCTCTCGCTCTTTTGAGGTTGACAGACTCTAACAACCACACAGGACAAGCGTGACTATGTCGTTCGCAGACTGCGCGAGATGGGCTTCATCATCAAATATGTCCCCGACTCAACTTTCTACCTGTGAGTTGTTCTCTGGAATGCACCTTACACAAGCCAGACTGACCGGTTTTCTAGTTGGCTGAACCTCGAGGGTCTCCCTGGCCAGATTTCTGACGGTCTCAACTTCTTCCAGGCCTGTTTGGAGGAGAAGGTCATCGTCGTTCCCGGCATTTTCTTCGACCTGAACCCGTCGAGACGTCGTGATCTTTTCGACAGTCCTTGCCATCACTTCGTGCGTTTCTCGTACGGCCCCAAGATGGAGACCCTGAAGAAGGGCTGCGACGGCATCGAGCGTGTTGTCAATAAGTTCCGCAAATCTTCCGACTAAATGCGGTGTGAGAGTGGTTAGCGGCTTGGACGGAATCGACGATAAGGGTAAGCCACGATAAAACACGCCAAGACGAGACCAATATTCCAGTGTTCAGTACCTGCATGCATACCCGCAGACGGCACAGATAATGCCGAAGCGATCAACGCGCCAATAGAGTGACGTGTCCACACAATGAAGAATCGAAGATCACGATTCACTGCATACGGTGCAGTTACAGTGTGTCTATATGAATGGACCCGTTCTACTATGTGAAAGTGTCTTTGCAATTACTTAGGGTAAAGGAAACAGGACCACAAATTGCACCAGCAACAAAATCACCGATGGATATGAGACATAACCGGAGGATCAAGAACACATAAACAAAATAAGTATAAAGTTAAAAGATGATAAAATTGGCAACGTTGCTATGCTAGTGTTGTGTCAAACATGTACACCCTACATACACATATTAGTTGCCAGGCCCGTCATAGTCCAAAGGAAAGCTGAGGTGGCCTGGCTTAAGGGGGCGGGAAAGGATCTCGACAACTTTGAAGCATCAAGGTATCTCGTCTAGGCCAAGCGAGGAAAATCAAGACGCTTGCTAACATAGGGCTTTTTATACCACTCTGCCTCGCCACAAGAAAATCCAGTTGCGTGTTTGTTCTCTCATTCGATTCATGGTCTCGCCGCCAACATCACGACTGGCTTGCAAGATAGTTGGCAGCCTAAGGGAAACCCGTCAGTTCCATAAGCACGATGGGAGATAACGCTTTTGGAGGCATCAACTTACCCTCTCCAAGTTGTAGTCATACTTCTCTAGAGCGAGGATGGCGTCCTCTCTCGAGTAACCCATGCTAGTGAGGTTCTTCAGGATCGGGTCGTCGTGCTCGCTCGACTGGGTAAGAGCTCGGCCGGGGGCCGGACGAGTCTCTGTAGCCGGGGGAACAAGAGCGGGAGCACTTGCGGTGGGGTTCGCGTTGGCGTCGCTGGGTGAATCGAGACTAGCAAAGATGGCATCCCAGTCCTGCGCCTCAGAGGCTCCTGTACCCTTAGCCGATGCGCCGGCGTTGCCACCAGCGGCGGGGTTCGGCGAGACCGATCCAAAGTCATAGCTGCTCTCATGCCCAAACGCCGTGGACTCGGTCTTGGCCTGACTAGGTGGCGGACTACTGTCGAAGACGGGATTGAAATCGTCCAGGCCGGACCTAGAGATCGTCTGGAAGTCGTCGTCGGCCGAGCCCTCCTTGGCATCCTCAAGGCCTTCGAATTCATCGTCAAGGTCGTCGAAAGACGATTTTGCCTTGGGTGCGGCAGGCTGTGCAGCTGAAGCCGCTGGTGCAACTGGAGTTTCCGAGACCTCAGAGCTAGCAGCTACGGCAGCAGTTGGCTCGGACGCAGACACGTCCTCAACCACGGGAGCAGGAGGGGGGGAAGTAGCCTCCTTGTCCTCTTCGGGTGCTTCGGTCTTCTTTGCCTGAGGGGACGCTGGGGCGAAGTCGTCATCAAAACCACCGCCAAACCCGCCGCCCTCGCTTGCAGTGTCCGAATCATCGTCTTCGCGGTCAAGCTCTGAGATGGGCGGAAACTCAGAATCGAAAGCTGAGGAGGATTTGTTTGCGTCAGCACCAGAACCTACCGAGCTCTTGTGCGCACTGGTAAAGCTAGCAAAAGCATCATCAAAATCAGCCTTGGCATCATTTGAACCCATGGCTGCAAACGGGTCAGAGTCAACCGCAGCCTTGTTAGGTGCAACTGCAACGCCGTTGCCCGAGGGCTTTGTATCGCCTTGGACTGCGGGCTCCTTATTGCTCGCGGTCGACGCCGAGTCCGTGCTCTGGCCTGTTGCCGCGACCTCGAGGGGAAAAGCTCCAGGCAGCGAGTTGGCCTGAGGAGTTTCACTACCCTCGGCCCGAGAGGCGGGCGGCGAAACAGCCCGAGAGGAGCTGAGAGATTCGCTTGCGTCGGCAAACGGGAGGAAGCTCGAGCTGATCTGCCTCGACTCTGGAGGGGCGGGAGGCTCGGCCGTAAGGGTAGCTTGACGACTGACATTGGGTGATGTGGGTACGGGAGGTGTCGAGAACGAGCCCAAGCTAGCAGTCGACGCACCTGTGTGTTGCGGTTTGAAGGATGTGGCGGGTGGCGGGGTGCTGCTAGACCCGGCAGGAGGGAATGCTGGCCCAAAGACATCGTCAAAGGACTTGTCAACGCTGGAGGGCTTGACAGGCGGCGGCGACCCGAAGGAGCCCATGATGTCAGTACTGCCCGTTCTCCTAAAAAAGGGGTTGTTCCCACTGGCAGTCGATGGTGTAGGACTTGCGACCTGAGCCGACGATGCGATCGGAGAACTAGTGTTCGCCTGACGAGAGAGCTCCTCGTTGTTCTTGGAAAGATCGCTCAGTTCAGTCTGGAGCTTGTCACGCTCACCCTCATTAGTCGCCGACTGCTTCTTGTTGATAGCAACAAGTCCCTTTTGCTGCCGCGCTTCGGACCTGAGCTTCTCGGTTTGAGACTTGAGCTTGGCAATCTCGGCGTTGAGAGTGCGGATCGTTTCCTTCAGCTTTGCGTTTTCTGCCTGGTCAGCCTGCAGTCCAAGATAAACTTGCTGGTGTTGGGTCTGCAAGTCTCTGTAGGTGCCATCCAACGCCATGCACTCGGCCTGAAGCTTCTTTGTCTCGTTTCTCGAGGTATTTAGTTGTACCTGGAGAGCCTCGACGTCTTTAGCTTCCTTCTCGTACAAGGTACGGAGCTGCGCCAAGCGCTGCTCGAAGTTCTTCTTCTGTGAATTGGCTTGATTGAGCTCATTTTGCGTCGTAGTCCGCTGGCCTTGAACCTCCTGCATCTGCTTAGACAGCGAGCCAACCTGGTTGGACAGGTTCGCAAGCTCGGCAGTTTCGTTGGTCAGCTTTTTGCTGACCTCAGGGTCGCCATCTCCCAGAAGGTCTTCGGATGCCGAGGGAGCGGGAGGTTTGCCAGAGTTTGAGTCTCCTGTAGAGTGTACAGTGAGTCCACGCCCGAAAGACGATGAAGGCACAAACGGCTTGAACTGAGTTCCAGTAGGCGAGGGTCGGATGGGAGAAGAAGGTGTGAGAACAGCCGAGCCCGAGCCGAACGGGTCGTTCGCATTTGAACCACCCGTCGACAGAGCAACCTGAGCCGGGGCTGGGGCAGGCGGTGTGTCAAGGCCAAACAAGTCATCAAGAGCAGACTTGGGAGCCGGAGGGGGTGCTGGGGCAGGTGGTTGAGGCTGGGGAGGAGCATCAAAAGGCGAGCCTGAGGTTTGGGGACGCGCCTGGGTCCGCATACTAGGCGGAATCAAGTTGGCGGGCACCGTCGTCGGAAGAGAAACTGAACCGTCTCGTCTCATTCGCTGCTGCCGAATGAGGTACATGGCGACGGCAAAAGTATCTCTGTTCAACCGGCCCTCAGAGTTGATGTCTGCGAGATCCCAGATCTGAGCCAAGGCGTCTTCTGGTAGGTTCGACTGGCTAAGGAAAGGAACAGCCTCCTCGCCGGTGATAAAACCCTTATGAGTCTTGTCCAGATCGTTGTAAAGGACATCGAAACGTGCCTTGTCATCGGGAGTGATGAGCCAGTCGCTTGCGGGAGTGCCAGTTGTTTGCGCTGTAATGGGTGGCCGTCCAAGGGGACTCCCGGCACGAAATTGAGCTGAGCCGCTGAGTTGCCTAGGAATGGCAGAAATGGGTCCGGTGCCAGTGGGCGATTGTCTAGGTGCGGTAGGCCCGCGCCGAGTTGCGGCCTCGTACAGAGCCGCTGGGAGGATATTAGGAAGGCCTCTGAGAGCGCCCGTTTTCATGGATGTGAGGAGATGCATAGCAATGACGAACTCGGTCAAGACCAGAGCGCCACGCTGCTCAGTGTCGGCCAGTTGCCAGATTCTCCCAAGCACCTCGGTCGGTAGTCCTGACTTTTCGAAGATGGATTTGGCTGCGTCGCCCGGTAGGAGGTTGCCCGCCTGTAACGGTTGGCGTTCAAACAACCCGGCATATTGACTGACTTTCTCGGGTGTCAGGGGCGGGATTCTGATAGGGCCTCCACCGGTACTTTGGGCTTGCAGAGGAACGGCGGGAGGGGCGGTGGGAGACGTAAGACCGGCCGGAGGAGGCATGCTATCGAAGCGGGGCAGCGGTCCCGGTTGGAGGGCTATCTCGGTAGTTGGCTCACGTCCGGCTTGCGCATGGCCGATGAGCCTCAACACAAGCCCGAAGCCGGCTGGGGTCAGAAAGCCCCGGTTCTCCTTATCTGCAATTTGCCATATCTGTCATCGTTTGCATCAGCTACCATGGCTGATTCGGGAAGTTAGTGGTATTTGTCCCTACCTCTCCAAGTACTCTAGAATCCAACCGAGTCTTCTCGAAGAACTTGACGGCGGTTTCGCCAGTAACGACACCTACACTTTCGGTATCGGCTTGGCGGAATAGTTGGCCATAAAGACGTTTCTCTTCAGGGGTTAGGTTGAGGTTCGGCGCCGCTATGAGACGACTGTTGTCAGCACCCCATCCTCTTGTACATCCTGCGCGCGCAGGCACCTTGTTTATTTCAAAATAGCAACTTACCCGCATCAACGCCCTCGGCCGACATGTTGGAGGCTTCAAGATCAGTGTAGTAGGAGTAGTCGTGCTGCGCAGGTTGGTGTGATATTGGGTTCAGGTGATTGGGGAGATATCGGTTGTCGTCGGTCGGGTTTGATACAGCCTCTGGGGGGGGGGGGGGGGGGGTCGCTGGGGGTGATCGACCGTGAGTCTGTTACCAGGAAATAATAGATTAGAATCAATCGTCAATCACAGTCAGTAACGAGGAGATGATCCAGATGGTAACTTACTTTGTGCACGGATGCTGTGCCCGGCCCTTTGATCCCAGAGAGAGTTGTAAAGAAGGAAACTTGCGTTTGGACGCTGGTTCCGTAGTGAAGGTAGGTAGATCGACTGTGGACGGCTCTGCCGGAGAAGGTCATCAGGCTGGCCAATTCGCAATGAAAGCCAAGCCACCTACAGCCACCTACCCAGGTACCCTGAAGAGGTACGTACCTCTTGTTCTGCTATGATTTAATAAACGGGGCCCATAATAAGTAAGCTCTGACCTACACACCCGACTCCTACCTAGGTAGGCTTCGTGCTCAAGACGTTCCTTGATGACCAACACCATTTACGGACACAGAGTCCAATATGAAGGAAAGACATGGACTTTTTCAACAAATCTGGTGCATCATCTGCAGAACCGTCTTTTTGAGCACACCGTACATAAATCGCATATATGACAAAACTTTTATGTGGGAAACATGGAGTGCGACGAGGTACACAATATACAATTTGGAACTTGATTGATTCATCCCCGTAGCATTAAAGTTGGCTATCTTTTCTCTCTCTAACAACTGAAGTAAACACGCCTTTGGGCCCAGAGGACTGCTTCAACGCGAAGACCCGTGACATCGGAGCCAGCGCCCCAAGAATAATCGGGGTGTTGCATCGCAACTTAATCCGCATCCAATCGCCAAGACATACACCTCTTAGTACTCTGCCTCAAGACCCTCCTCGCCCTCAAGAGAGTCGGCTGCAACCTCCTCGTAATCGCGCTCCAGTGCGGCGAGATCCTCACGAGCCTCGGAGAATTCACCCTCCTCCATACCCTCACCAACATACCAGTGGACGAAGGCACGCTTGGAGTACATGAGATCGAACTTGGTCGACAGAGCGGACCAAGCCTCGGCAATGGCTGTGGTATTAGAGAGCATGCACCTATTAACTTCGTTAGCAAAACATCTTCGGCATGTGCGGAGAGCACGGCCAGAACTTACACAGCACGGCTGACCTTGGCGAGGTCACCGTTGGGCACCATCTGGGGAGCCTGGTAGCAGATACCGAGCTTGAAGCCAGTGGGGCACCAGTCGACGAACTGAATGGTGCGCTTGGTCTTGAGAGTCGCGACAGCGGCGTGAGCATCGTTGGGAACGACATCACCGCGGTACAGCAAGCAGGTGGCCATGTACTTGCCGTGGCGGGGGTCGCACTTGACCATCTGGTTGTTGGGCTCGAAGCAGGACATCGTCATCTCCTGAACGGAGTTGGCCTCGTGGGCGGCCTTGGCGGCCGAGATCATAGGCGCGTAGGCGACGAGAGGGAAGTGAATACGGGGGTAGGGAACCAAGTTGGTCTGGAACTCGTTCAAATCGACGTTAAGGGAACCATCGAAGCGGAGGGAGGCGGTGATGGAAGAAACGACTGCGTCCATTTGTTAATATGCGAGCCTGGGTAGAAGTTGGAAAGAGGCTGAAGCTTACCCTGGGCAATCAAGCGGTTAAGGTTCTCGTAGTTGGGGCGCTCAAGACCCAGGTTGCGACGGCAGATGTCGTAGATGGCCTCGTTGTCGACCATGAATGAGCAGTCAGAATGCTCCAGGGTGGTGTGGGTAGTAAGGATAGAGTTGTAAGGCTCGACGACGGAGGTAGCGGTCTGAGGGGCGGGGTAGACACAGAACTCGAGCTTGCTCTTCTTGCCGTAGTCGACGGACAGGCGCTCCATGAGGAGGGCACCGAAACCAGAGCCAGTACCACCACCGAAGGAGTGGAAGACGAGGAAGCCCTGAAGACCGACACAGTTATCGGCGACGCGGCGGACCTTGTCGAGGACCTGGTCAATGAGCTCCTTGCCGACGGTGTAATGGCCACGAGCGTAGTTGTTGGAAGCATCCTCCTTGCCAGTAATCATGTGCTCGGGATGGAAGAGACCACGGTAGGGGCCGGTGCGGACCTCGTCGACAACATTGGGCTCCAAATCGCAGTAGATGGCACGGGGGACGTACTTGCCCTGGCCTAATAAGTGGAATTGTATCAGCAAATGGTTCATGCTTCATGGCTCGTCGGGCCAAACCATACCAGTCTCGGAGAAGAAGGTGCTGAAGCCATGGTCAGGGTCAGCTGCCTTACGCTCCTCGGTCAAGTATCCATCGGGCTGGCAGAGAGACGCTAGTTAGAATCCTGGGCATATAAATGAGTGATGCAGTTAGCTTACCTGGATACCGTGCTCGAGGCAGTAAAGCTACAGACAAGAGGGGGTTAGTCATCGAATCCGTGAGCAAGCGAAGCCGAACGAGTGTCGTCGAGATAGGCAGGTTCATGGCTCGACTCGGCGACGGTGTGGTATCGAGTAAACAGATGTAAACATACCTCCCAGCAGGAGTTAGCGATCTGGCAACCAGCCTGACCGACTAAACAACGAAGTCAGTAAGTATGCAGAGATGAATACCAGGTATATAGTCGTGGTAGTTGAAGGCAATGAGGGCAAACAAGCAACGGGTGGTCACGATGCGGTGAAGCAGAGCAGCACGCGTGGGGTCAGGGGATCAAAACAAATGGGGGTGTGCTTACCGTTGATGCTGATGACCTCACGCATGATGGCGGTTGAGAGACGAGGGTGCAAAAGGCTAGCGACTGGAAGAGGGAGCAGCAGCAAAGAGGCAAGACTCGAGGAGGTGGGAAGCAAGCAAAAAAGTTGACTTCGCAGCTATCGCGAGAGGATGTCGGACAGGAGGTTGAAAAGGTTGGGTTAGGCCTGACAAAGTGCAGAGAAAGAATAATAGGTGCTGGCCGGCTCGTGCTTGTGTGTTTTCTGGCGGCGGCGGCAGTGGTGGTGCTTGGTGCTGGCTGGCGCTTCCAAGACTGGAGACCTCAGGACGTAGAAGGACACTGTACGGATAGGTGAGGAGACCAGGGTCGGGTACGAAATTTGGTGCGCCAGGGGCCGTGCAGCGAAGGTTTGTTGATATGAGCGGCCCCAAATTGGTAAGCGCATCGGCCCACGTCTGTTGTCAATGGCAAGACTGGCGAATAGCAGGACGCACAATGGGAGGCACCGGGGGTGTCTTATTGGCTCTCCTGCGGGGACTCGACAGGCACAGGGCCCGTTTTTGCGCTAGGAACCTCTAGCACTGTGAAAGCGTTCTGCGGGCCCGCCTGCCATTGGCGGGCAAGGTATCCGTACACCGCACTTCGCTGGCCCCGATCCATACCGACTAAGTACCTATCAGTGACAGCTTGCAGTACATGAGGCGAAGAAACACACGAAAGAAAGTGGAAGAAAAGCAAAACACCCGCCTAAAAGGCCAGGACCAAGGAAGCGCCGGAACGGTATCTTTAAGCCAAGTAACCCAAGGCATCTTTTTGCGCCATGTACGTGTGCCCAAATAGGGTAGCGATGCAGGGAGGGATGAGCATAGTAAACACCCGCTGAAGAAAGAGTAGCCTCTCATCGAGTGAGCGAGAAGGCGAGAAGCACAGCCTGGCTAGTCTGATCTGGAATGTTGTTGCACATCGGATTTATGAGCCAGCTTAGGGTGATCTCCTCAAATATCAGCCAAATCTTATCCAATAGGTTGTTAATCTCGGCCGAGGCTGTGCTTCTTCAAACCAGACCCAAGGCGACAACCCCAGCAGGTAAAAAGGGGGATCCGGTTCACTTCCCAAGGCTCTCGGATGCAGGAATACTAGTTCATGTAGTTTACATACCAACCAAGCTGTGGAAACGGACCCATCGGCGAACCGTGGCGGCGGGAACAATGCCTGCCGTGATTTCCAAAGCTGTCTCTTGTTTCTTGTTTCATTGAAGTCCAAGGCCTAAGCCATCTACAGGCAGGACGATGTGTACCCGGAAGCACCTTGAGAGAAAGGGAGGAACGAATAGTGTGAAGGGCCAGGCAGCTTCAAAGTGCAGACCGAACCGCCGATGCCAGCTAGCCCATTCAAGCCCCTGTCTGTATCTCACTGCCCACCTTCGCGAAGAGGTGGGTGCGTTGCCAAATGTAATGTACTCTGTACTACTCCCTAGCTTTACCCACCTTCATCATCAGACAGCTTCACCACACATGATTCCTAGTCACCATCAACACCAACAACAGTTACTGTCCCCCATCCCGACGCTAATCTAGGCAGGCGAATTTCTTCTCGATCTTGACCGGGGGAAAAAGGTGAACAAAAGCAGCTTCAACATGCGACTAATCTTCGCCACCGGCTTGATTCTGGCCTTCTGCCGAGACGTTGCCCACGCCAACACCGAAAAGGTCATCTTCCTTGGCCCAGACACGATAAACGTGCCGAACATGCCGCCGACCATTGAGGACCTTCGGCTGGATGTTCTCACACCTGATGATTGGATCAAGCGACTCGACCTCAAGGCTGCATTTCCATCTGAGGACGCGCCCTCGGGAACGACTACTTGGTTACTGCTCAATGACCTTAGTCAAGGCCAGCGTTACGAGCTGAGAGTTTGCTGGGCGGCGACAGTAAGACGAAAACTGCACGTGTCATCTGCCATCATATGCTCATTACAGACAGCAACCCACAACTTTCACACTCGATGTTTTTGATTTATCTACTGTGTGGGATACACCTGAACTGATTTCGTCATTGGCGACCTACGCGTTTTCCCGCCAGCTCGAACAAGACAACTCTGGCGCTGGGGACAAGCTAATGCAAAAAAAGACGCACGAGCATGAAGCCTCGCTGCTCTTTCTCCGAGTTCTGGCGGCAGCTAACTACTTCACGGACAATGCCACACTCATCGCTCAAGCCGAGCCTGTCAGCGTTGACCTTATTCTCGACCCGTTCTTGCTCAATGCTTTACCACGGTCACTACTGCCCACCGTTGTTTACATCGTCGCCGTGGCGATCTTGGCTTGGTTTCTATCTAGACGCATTCTTGTTTGGATTCAACCTGTGCTCGCCGCAGAAGGCAAGTCCGCGGAAAAGAAGAAGAAGAGGCTATGAACACGAAACTACCGTATCGCGTCGCCTTCTCCATGCATTCATGTTTTGCTCGAAACGTAAACAAGTTCTAACGACAGGAAATCCACTGCGTACAAATGATACCATGCTTTCTTGCACTTAACAGACATTCAACACTCGTCGCGCACCCCTGCCCAAAAGCAGCCAAGGATTTGAAAGGGGGATATTCAGTCTTAGTGCCTTCTCAGCAGGCACGCCCTGCATTTCCCTTGAGCATGTTTATCCATACATACAAGTGCCAGAGCTCAGGCGCAGGAAAGACCTCGAAAATCGTGTCATGCCGTGCCTGGCTCTGCAGGGCCGTTCGACTATAATGCAGTCTCAGCGCTCAGTAGTGGTTGCCGTAATTAGGGGTCTGCTGAGACGGGTTGCTGCCGTATGATGCTTGACTTGGGTATCCTCCAGCCGGAGGGCCTTGAGGGGCGGCGCCGCCGTATGTTGCTGGGTTGTATCCTCCATACTGTGGCTGCTGTTGGTGCTGTTGGTTTAGCGGCGCACCATAACTAGGCTGCTGGCCGTACGAAGGTCCACCGGCAGGCGGAGGCGGGTATGACTGAGAGTGTGACTGTTGAGCTGGCGCGCCGTACGAGGAATTGTGGTGAGGTTGGCCATGGTTCGGCGAAGGAGGGTACTGATTAGGCGGCGGAGGATATGACTGCTGTCCGTGGTTCTGGCCCTGGTTCGGCGCTGGCGAGTGGTAGGAACCACTTGATGGCGTAGACGAGTGCTGGTTGTGCGCAGAGGAACCAGGAGGCTGGTACGAAGTGGGAGGAGCCTGGCCGGTGTAGCCGCCGCCGCCGCCGCCGCCACCACCACCACCACCACCAGAAGCGTTGTTGGAGTATCCGAAATCATTGCCCTGGAGGATGAAGTCAGTAATGGATGCTGAATGCGATTATCCTCTCCAACATACACCGTGACTTTGCTTGCCGCCACCAAACATGTTAGCCACGCCTCCCATAAGGGAGCCAGCAAGGCCTCCATGTTGCTGTTGGTGGCCTGAGGACTGGCTACCATGGTAGTTTTGCTGTTGCGCCTGATGCGGCTTGTTCCCGCCCGCAAGGAGACTTGAAGCTAAAGAGCTGCCGATTTTGCCCAATGAACTCTTGCCTCCGCTGCTACTACCTCCTTGGCCGTTGCTATGCCCGCCAATGCCGCTCATCAACTGGCTGGCGAGGCCCCCGAGGGGGCTGGAGCCGTTATGATTACCCGAGGAGCCGTGGTTCGAGTTTTTGCCTCCGAGAAGCGCGTTCATTGCCATGCTCTGAAAAGATGAACGAGTCAGCAACGGAACATCACATCAGTAGAACTCAAATGCGACAAACACCGCACAAAGTACCAAGATACATGTGGGCAAAGAGGTAGAGGGCCGAGAGTAACATACTCCGAGTCCACGGTCTCCCGTCGGACCATCGATACCCCTCGTGCTTGTGGTGTCAGGGGGCAAAGAGGGGTTGACGGGCTCGAGAGTGCCATCGGCATGGCGCACCGTCTGGCTGCCGTCAGGATGAGTAATGACCTCGGGCTGCGGAACGCCATAAGGATGATCAGAGGGCTGTGAAGGCGTCGCGCCTGTGGGCGCGGCATCGGTCGGGGTCTCCCATTGCGATACGCCGGTAGAAAGCTGCACGAAGTAATACTTCTTGCTCGAACCATCCCACTGGGCAATCCAGCCAGCAGGGAGATGCGGCGGGGCGAACGTGGGGCCCTCGGTGCCCGGTGAGGCCGGCCCTGCCATCAGAGAAAATACGGGAGTCGTCGAGTTACTAGGACGTGAGATAGGAAAGTCAGCACGCGCAGAGGGTAAGGATGCGGTGTGGAAGAATCGACAAGAGTTGGGCGTGTGGTGTTGGATGCTAGAATCGGCGGGGGAGGATGCGGATGTAGGTATGTATGGATACTGCACCTTACGGATCGGTGGTGGACGTATTGGGCTACTGCGTATCGGTACAAGGTGGGTGCTCCAGGCCAAAGGCCAGGTCCAGGAGTTTAGGGTCTTATAAGGTTGCAGAAGGGTCCAGTGCTGCGCTCTAGAGAGGCTCGGATAAAGTGCAGCCACAATCAATACTGACACAGGCACAGACATGCGCGAGTTGGTCTTGAAATGGGCAGGAGTATCCCAGCGTTGCGAGGGCTAAATGCTTGGCTATCCAATATTTATTTGGGAAATCGGCGTACGGACATGAAGTGGCTGAGATATCCGCCGTGAGGGCATGGACGCGTGGTAAATTTGTCCAACTCAACCAGGTTAGTATACCCTACGTAGCAGCATCGATCAGCTGGCCGACTGGATATACCCAGTCCAGCAAGTCCGAGTGCCGCTGAACGTACTCCTTTTCATAACAGCAGCCCAGATGTGCTTGGCTACAGTTGGGCAACAAGCCGACGCCACCAGAGCAACCGAGTCGATATGGATAGGTATTATCCCTTATGCCTTAGGTGAGGTTAGGTGGGTAAGAGTTGGGCGCTGGTGGGGTCAAGTTTGACAAGGACAAGTCTGTGAATGAAGATGAGATGTAATGTGACTAAAATGCGCCTCCTGGTCGCCTCGTTGGCCCTATAGATGATCAAGCCCAATCGAGAACGAAAGAGTCAGACGACAGACTTTGTATGCGAAGTCCTTATTCACTGCCTGCTTTCGTGATGACGAACAACTGGCACAGCCACAGCAGAGTCGCTGAAGTTACCCAGCAGCCACCTTCTTGGGTCATCTGCTTGGGCTGTCTGTGGTGGGCGGCCTCTGGCGGTCTTGCTGGGGCACTGGCAGGTGGACCGCGCCCCAGCCATATCATTGTACGAAATCACGCATACCTCCAGAGGCTACCCAGACCTAGGTAGGTAGCACGTAGGTAGCCAGTCGCTTGGAAGTTGTGAACGTCGGAAGCTCCTATTGTTCGTGCCCTTTGGTATCTACCGTATTTTGGTTTAAGTAGTACATTCAGTTTATCCCACCTCTAATCAGACATAAAATGAAGTATGTGCCGACCGAGCGGCTATGGACGATGTTGGGCAGGTCCTCATGACTTACACGTCACTGCCACGAGCAGGGGTAGATGTTCGATGTTAGTAAACATGGAGGTCTGGCCCAGCCACCCTTAGCAATACCCTTTTAACCTCGCCGACCCCCGGATTAAGCAGACAATTACCACTGGCAAAAAGCAAGTCCATCATCGATGCTCTGGGCGTTGCTGAGAGACCACCCCGATGAGGTTATCATTTCACGAGGTTCAATCTACCCTATTCCAGGACTACTGCCCAAATTACTGTGCGTGTGTGTATGTTGGAACAATCGCGTTCAGGCCGGAAACGACGTTGACCCGGCAGGAAGGGGCTTGTTAATCATGAAACATGGAAAACGGTTCAGTGGAAGTCATCATGATGAAAACACACATAGGAGAATAAGCGGGCGAAACTCAAAGACGACGCTAAAGGGCACCGTCCGCATCGCAAACTGCAAGCCTCATAGAACAAACCTTGCGGTTCTAATAATTTCCATTCCTGGCATTGTCATGTCTGCCTTTTTGTCTATTCGTGCCATGCAATCTAGGTATATCCTCCTCGTGTCGTAACCCCAAACAGACCAGAAAAGCTAGGCGCTATCATTGATGAAGTTACCCCGTGACAGATTGGTACGTCAAGTACCATGCATGCAGACTGCACATCTTATACAGGCCCCAGTCCGGATGAGCCTAAGGAAACCCACCCTGGCCTTAATATGCCCCTCAGACGCCAATAACCCCATCAATAAACACTTCCCTGTATACTCCTGTCCTCTTTCTCGGCCCGCGCAAGTTCGTCCTCGTCCGCCTCGGAGCCCAGGTCGCTACTATGGGTGTCGCCAAGACGGTTGGCGCGTGCCCCTCTCCGCATCCCGTGTGCGTTGTTCTCGTTGGGCTGCTCGTCCTCAGTGGTCGGTGTCGCGGTCCCGGTGGCCGGGCTGACTATGTTGTTGGTTCTAGTGTTGGTCTCCTCAGAGATATCGCTGTTCGAGATGACCCTGATCTTGGTGACAGTAGTTATCTCGTGCCGGTGCCCTTCCTCCTCCGACGAGTCCGTATCGCTACCAGCAATCGACGTGTGTCCTGAGTATGTGCCGCCAAAGTCGCGGCCGACATGCAGATGCGGTGAGACCATACCCCGCAGACGACGGTCTTCGGCGGAGATAAACGATGGCGTACCGTCGGGTGACGAGACGACCTCTTGACGCGCGCGGGTGATATCAATTTGCGGTGGCCGACCATCACCGTCGGTTCCTTCGTCTGAAGTGTAGCCCTGCTCGCACCGCTTGAGTTGTCTCCGGGGCGCGGGGGACTGCCGCCGGGAGTAACCGTTGCCAACTGTCCCGTTGGAGGTGACCTCGTCCGTCTGGCGGAGGGCTTCCAGGTCATCACGTCTCTGGTAGTGATTCTTGTGGTTACACCCGTTAGGACAGCCACCCCAACGCCGCGTGACGATAAATGTCTTACTGCGTTCGAGAAGGGTCCCCGCTTTGGCATCCTTGGTCGATCGCCCCTCCTCGCTCCGCTCCTTGTCTTCCTTCTCCTTGAGCAGAGCTCGTTCCTTCCGCAGTTCCGACCAGGTTCGGAGTTTGTTTTCGAGAATGTATTTGCCGCTCTCTTCTTGCTTGCGCATGATGAGGAACTCGCAGTGATTGACGTTACGCAGGTCCTCGAAGTATTCGACGGTGAAGTGATACCACTTCATGAGGAAGACGCGTGACATGAGCCCGTGTGTCACTAGATAGTCAGCACGCATCCCCCATCAAGAATCACGCAACTCACCCAAGACACAGACGCTGGCGAAGTCGTCCTCGCCAAACTGGCGCCACAGACTTTCATTGAAGCCGCTAACTCTGTCGTAGGCGTCTGCGGCGCTCTCACCGTTGGGGATACGATAAAAGAAGTGTCCGTAGTCGGCGCGTTCCTGCCACATGCGCTCCATTTCCGCGGAGCAGGGCTGAAAGTTGCCGAAGTCCTGCTCACGTAGACGAGGCTCTTCGTATACCTTGATATTGGATCGCTTGAAGGGCGAGGGATCCTCCTCGTCGGACGTCAGCGTCGACAGGATGCCCTCAGTTGTCTCGCGGGTACGGCGGTAAGGCGACGTAAAGAAGTGGAGGGTGTCGTCGGCGCGCAGCAGCTTGCGCAGACGGCGCCCGGCATCGTGGGCTTGTTGCCAACCGTCTTGTGTAAGCTTCACTCGGTGATCGGGGATCGTCTGGTGGATTTCGCGGTTCTCTTAGGTACAAGGTTAGCCGTAGGAGCGGATGCCTAGACAGAGAAACATACTGTTGCCCTCGGACTGAGCGTGCCGGATGAGAATGATAAGCCTTGGTTTAGCCATGGTGCCTGTGGCGATTTGTAATCGGTAGCCGAGAAGATGTAGCGAGAAGGACGCGAAGGCTGGTGGGATAGGAGATGAGGGTGTCTTATTTCACAGGTCATTCAGAGCTCAGCAAACTTGGAGTCGCAAATCGTAGCGTTGGGAACCTTGTTCGATCGGGGAAGCGTACTATGTAAGGAGAGAAATGAGGCTGGGCAGGGCAGAGGCTAGAGACTCTGATGGAGGGCTGCGGGTGCTGGGGCTGCCGTTGTATGTGTCGCTTTATGCTAACCTTAACTTTCGGCGGGGGCACAGACGGGAGGGGGATGTGCCTGCTTTAGTAGTGCGCAGATGTCTCTGACCAACGGGTTGAGTAGGTTGAGAAAGGTTAAGTTTGGGCTGGAGGTGCAAGGAACGCAAGGCGTAGCAAGGAGTTGTTCAGGTGGGATGGAATGCAGTCACAAGTCTGGCCCGATGTGTAGGTATTTGGCTTAGCTTAGATAGGTACCTATAGAACCACAATAGGCAGATAGTCCTGTACATCAATCGACGGCGTGGTCTCCAACCCCCTCGTGTGCCAGGTATTTTTGGCCGTCATTTTGGTGGCATGGCGATTTCTCACATACACGAGAAAGGACCCCTCTTCCCACCCAAGGCCTATGACAGTCAAAACGCCCACACGCACACAAGTTCTTGAATCGGAAGCCCTGTCATTTATCCCAGCGACATGGCCGACCCCCTTCTCCATTCCAACGCAGCCTGTTCCATCGGGCGACCCCTTGCCCGGCTCCCAAAGTGTTGCTCTCCAGCGGGGTACACCCAAGGATCTCAACGAATATGGCAGCCAACCGGACGCCGGAAGGGGGCTCGAGCTGATGCCTTGAGACAAGGAATGGACCGCCCCCCTGATTGGCGCACTGGCCTTCTGATCCGCGACGAAGCTTACGGCATCACTGTCGTGCAATCGTCCAGAATTTTCCCATTATACACTACCTAACCCAGGTATGTCTAGTACACTACTCCGTACAGAGTCCCTACCCATTTACTCGTAATGTATTTGCCTTGTGATACAACGTGCAGCACCACTTAGAGATTGGGCCGGGCTACAAATGGCGAATGGTAACGGCAGGGGTTCTGTTGGATGTTTGGCTGCTGCAGTCTGCTCAACCTTTTTTTTTTTTTCCCTCTTTGTCTCTCATGCCAAATGTTAATTGTCGACTTGCCGCCGCCGGACCAACCCCTTACACTTTGTACGCGCTAACCTACATCCTTTTCCGGCGTGGCCTCTGGACAATCAGCTGCTTGCAGGCTTCCATAGACACGTTGCCCAGGACCGCCCCATTCCAAGCATCGTCTCTCGGTGGTTTCCCCCACCTCACCCACACATCACCCCAACCATTCCACGTAGTCGCTCGCTTCAGCCTTTCCCGGAGCAGACATTTGAACTACAGCCGCCCGCCGATCGCCGCCGCCACCCCCGGAGCTCTCCTAGCCGCCGACCGACCACTCTCAGCAAAGATCCTTCACAGCCACTCTACAAGCGCCAATCTTTGCCGTTTCCTCTCACAACTGCACGCGTCTTACCATCCATCACCTATGGGAACACGAGTGGGGCATCTGGGCAGTCATATCGCACCACATATCCCAAACACCTCGGTCCTCATAGGAATCAGCTCATTCCGTATCCAGCCGCATCCAGCCTCGGCCCATCATCATTCGACTCCAATCTTAGCCTAACAGCCCCGAGCCAACGGCAGCACCCCGCAAAACCAACCTGCTATCGAACACTCCAAAAATAAAAAATAAAAATAAAAATACAACCGCCATGTCCGGCGAGGGCCCCGAGTCAATCCCCACCTCGGCCGACCCGCGCTCGCGTCGCCCGACAAAGAAGCGTGCTCTGACGCCCGTCACCGAGCATGCCAAACGCCTCGAGTCCCTCTTCTCCAAACCCGACCAGGAGATCCGCCTCCCCCCCGCCCCTGGGGCTGTTGCTAAGCGTGCCGTCGCCACGCCTCCCGAGATTGTCACAAACGTCCAGGGCTCCAGTGCCGGCGCGGGCTCCGGCGAGTTCCACGTTTACAAAGCCAGCCGCCGCCGCGAGTATGACCGTCTACGTGCCATGGACGAGGAGGTCAAACAGGAGAAAGAAAACGAGGAGTTTGAGCGCCTAAAGGCCGAGCGCGCTGCCCGCGACGAGGAGCGCACAAGGAAGAATCGCGAGAGGCGGGAGAAGAAAAAGCAAAAAGGGAAAAAACATCTCGCCGCGAAGGGTCCCGGTGGCGCTGTCCCCGACGTGAAGGTAACGGCGCCGACAGGCAAGGGCAATGATGCCAAGGATGGGAACGGAGAAACCAAGGACACGGAGACTACATCAGGGGAAGCTGCCCAGCCTGCTGGGCTCATCATCCACGACGACGACTGATTCATCTTGGACTTGAAGATTGAACATAAGCTTGGCATCACCAATAATAACATAAGACCAAACACCACACGGGTGGGTACGATCAACCGACGGGAGCAGTCAATAGTTGACAAATTATTCACAAACAACTTGATCCCGAGAATTCGTCGTCTAGGTAATTTCTAATCCGTGTCTATGCCTTCGTACAGGGTATGACCATTTTTTTCTTTTCTCCTTCATCACTCCCATCGCCTCTCCGTTCCGAAATACCAATTAGACTGACTTCATCAGGCTCTTATTCGTCGCCGCCGTGCAGGCCGTTGCCCATTTGCGCCGCCTTCCTAGCGCTGCAAATATCATCTACTCTGAGGAGCAAACAGGCGGACTGTAGGTGTTAGTGTGTGTAGTGGTTAAGCTTGTAAACAATGCAAACATACCTCAATAGCCGTCTTGATGCTCTGTAGTTTAATGGCCTCGGGCTCCCAGACGCCGTACTCCTTCATGTCCGCAACAACACCAGAATCGCCGTTGATGCCCCAAGAGTGCTTACCTTCGGCATGCTTAGCGCGCAGGTCTGTAAGCACCCTGACAGGGCTGGCGCCGGCGTTCTGGACGAGGGTACGGGGAATGACCTCAAGCGCGTCAGCCACGGCTTTGTAGGGCCACTGCTGGACACCCTCGACGCCCTTGGCGAGCTGACTCAACCGCACAGAGACGGCCATCTCGGTGGCACCACCGCCGGGGGACAGTCTGGGGTTGAACATGACGTTCCGAGCAACGCCCATGGCGTCCTGAAGATTACGCTCAATCTCGTTCAGCACGTCCTTGGATGGACCACGGAGGAGCACTGTGCAGGCCTTGGGGTTCTTGCACTTGGTAAGGAAAGTAAAGTACTCGTCGCCAATCTTCTCAATCTCAAACAGCCCGCAGAGCGTACCGACATCCGAGTCCTGCAGGTCGTCGACGCGGTTGACAATGGTGGCGCCCGTCGCTCTCGCTATCCTGTTATTGTCTGTCTTGCGGACACGACGCAGAGCCGTGACATTGGCCTTCATGAAGTAGTGCTGGGCAAGATCTGCACTCATTAGCCATGTTCTCCAAACGCAGCACTCAGCTTACCTGAGACGCCCTTCTCGGTGATGACAAGATCCGGCTTTAGGGCCAGAATGGCCTCGCACATCGACTTGACCTGCTCCTCCTCAATCTGCAGGATACGGTTCCAGTCCTCCTCCTTGGAAATCTCGATGTTGGTTTGCGACTCGCCCTTCTTGTACTCGAGGGGGCAATCAAGCAGAACGATTCTGGGGTTCTCTATTCTCCGGCGCATCTTAGGGTGGGTGATGTCCTTGTTGAGCATAACGCCGTCCAGCACCCTGCTGTCCTCGATCTCTCCGCCAGGAACCTTCTCCACGCGTGCGTAGCGCTTGATATCAACCTCGGTCTTTCCATTGCCAGCCTCCCAGGTAACGGTGCGAACGGCGCGCAAGGCCAGGTCGCACATCAAGTCAGACCATCTCGAGACAAATTTGGTCCCAATCGAGGAGGAGATGAGACCGCGCATGGCCTTGTCGTCGTTGACGTCGATAGGAAGGGAGATATCGTCGACGATCTCGAGAGCGTCCTTGAGCGCCCGGCGGAACGCGGCAATGATCTGAACGGGATGAATGTTGCGCTCTAGCTGAGGCAGGGACTGCGCGAGCATCTCGCCAGCTGTACGGGTCAGTCGTGCTTTATAAGCGGTACGCAGAAACCTTACCCAAGATGATGACCGTCGTTGTGCCGTCGCCGACTTCCTCGTCTTGTGTCCGGGAGAGCTCAATCATGCTCTTCGCTGCGGGGTGCGAGACCTCGATTTCTCTGAGAATAGCATGGCCGTCGTTGGTCAGAACGATGCCGCCCATGGGATCTAGAAGCATCTTTAACATGGCCTTGGGGCCCAAGCATGATCGAATAATGTCGGCGACACTGCCAGAAGGGTCAGCGATAGTCAGTGGTAGCTGGGAACAGCGTCGTACGTCTTGGCTGCTGCGATGTTGGACAGCTGGGCCTTGCGACCCGTCTGCCGTTCACCGCTCTGGGTGTCTAGAGACGGTGGTTAGCACTCGTGATATGGAGGGGGTAGCTTGTCCAAGCTCTAGAAGGAAGGAGGGGCTGCCATACTCATAACCACTACAGGAGCCTGCATGTTGGGCGACGACGGTTCCGATGGCTTGATAAAAAATTGGTGTCGTCTGGGGGTGTTTTTCGGCGAGGAACTTCACCGTTGCAGAGGAAATCGTGGCGATGGCGGGGGTGTTGCTGCTGCTGCTGCTGCTGCTACTCCTCCTAAGGCGCCGGGCTTCTAAAAAGTTCGCTGGGCGGGTTCATTTTTCGGCGGGATGAAGCTGGGGCACGGCGGAACCATTTCCCGGCTTCACCGAGATTCACCTTGATTCTGGCGTACCGAGGCCCACATTGGACGACATTGCAGTGGTTGTCAAACGACGAGCCCGGGTTCACCATTTGCCAGTCATCATTACTGTAGTATTTATATGATGATCTCATGCTCTGGCCGCCGTGTGGATGTACTGCCTCACCAAGGGACGAAGTTATCAGCGAAAGGTCGTAACGAACCGGACCCGTGAGCTTGATCAACCCCCCTAATTCTACTTATTTTTTCTCTATGCCAAAGACAAGTACGGGGCATACTTCGCGAGCAGCCGTGTGATCGTTTCGGCAGGTCTTGCCTTTTGCCGGCAGCCAACAGACACAGTCTAGAACTGCACTTCGTTGCGCAGCCCGGAATTCCTAGTCCAACCACTTCCACTGCTATTGGCGCGCCCCTTCCCTGCATCCTGTGCCCGGAGCGGGTGCACGAACGGAGATGAGCCAGTCTGCGGTACCGCTGTTGGTGTTCGCGCAACCTCCTGAGACACCTGGACGCTGGGTCCAACCTTATCCCATTCCCCCTCAAATGTGATATCCACAACGCAAGCATCTCTGGCCATGGCGTCCTGGAGAGACTTCCACCGGGCCTTGTCAACTTCTGCTGCCGAACGACAGCGCTCCCAGAATTCGTGCTTCTGCATGGCCTTGGTGGCATTGCTGACTCGGCGATCGGTCTCCTTCCACGGCAAGCCAGTGACGTTTTTCACGAAGAGAAAATCTTCAGTGCGAGTAGCAAAGGGCATGCACTTTTTTGATCCAGTCGCAAAGATAGGGATACCGTCACTGCACATTCTCAGCCTTACTCGGTATGCGTCCTTTCCACGTCCGTGGCCTTGAACCGTGAGCCTATTGAAATTTCCCAGTTGTGGGGACCTGCTTAGATTTAGCCGTTCGTCTGATTCCCTCAGGTCTGCCGTTATCGAGACTTTGTCATAAGGCGCAGAAATCTTGAGGTACGAACACGGCATAGGTATCAGCTCAGATGGAACTGGACCGCTTGCTTGGACCAGAGGCCTAGACATTTCGATACATATCCATCTGCGCTTCCTACCGTTGATGTCGGTGCTTGAGGAATGTGTCAGTGCCTAGTCCGCAAGGAACGGGAAGCGTAGACTCACATGTCTAGCTCTGTCATGGAAATATTTCCGTCTATGCCATCTTGGAAGAACATCTCCGTGCTGAAACTGGCCCCGTAGTCCTCGACCGTTGCGGTGATCAGTGGTGGACCGGGAAATGTCTGGTACACGTCGTTCACCTTTTGGAAGTGCAGATACCGGATTCCACGCTTCTGGTATCCGTTCGCCTCCATCGATTTGCTTTGCAATGCGCTGAAGCTCATGCCCATTGCAAAACCGTGATATTCCTGTTGCCATTCAATATTCATGATCTGGCCAGGTCGTCGTCGAGCCACGAGGCCAGGAACCGTATGGATTTGTTTGCTCCGTGGCCATATAACTGCCGCTAGGCGTTTATGCGCACTTTCACTATTGATTGTAAGTGTATTTCAATTGCCATTCCGTCTGTGACTTACACAAATCGAGACTTGGCCAAGAAGTGCTCGGCAAGTCTGTTCCTCTCTTCGGAACAGTCATAACTCGGCTCATACATCGTCTCCCTGAACACAGGTTCCATGACTGGAAATCTGTACATCCTGTCTTGCAGTTCCACATCTCGTACCATGGTTTTCTGTTGCAAGGCGGATGAAGAACATCCAAGGCCCCAATCATGGCACGGAGTGAACTCGAGGTGAATGATCTCGTTTTGGTTCGAAGATAGCTGACGATCTGTGGCGTCCCCGACCTGTGCATTGAACTCTAGCATCTTACGGAAGGATTGGCTGAGCCCTAGAGAGAGCTTCTCCTTTACACTCATGTCATTACGAAAACCAGTCATTGTCGCGATCTTGTGGCCAGCGCGAGTTTCAACCTCAGTATCTGATGGATTTCGGCTGAGAAACGATATGCCTGCAGGGACTGTTAGCCGTAAATCTTTCTTGGGACGGATTGATTCTCACGGTGAGAAGAGATTTCAGGAAAGAGTGGTTTCCAAGTCGGCCCCGATAGATATGCTCTGTGATCTATATCATAGGATCAGTACCCGGGTAGTTGCAAGGAACAAACCAAATATCTCCAGAGGCTTGCCGAATTTCGTGTCTTACCTGTGTTCGTAACTGCCATGGTTCGCCTGTGCCATACAAATTCCAACGGCAGCTGGTCCAAGTCGAAATCGGGGGCTTCCATGGACTCAGTAAACTCCCCAATAGAGGGCTGATCGATACGTTTTCTCTTGGTTGCGCTCTGTTCGACGTCGCCCGCGTGCCTCTTGTAACTGTGATCCCAAGGAAGCACCATATTCGCAGCCGGGCTGCTGTTCCCGTCTTGAATGGTCGGGGATATCGACGAAATGAGTTCAGCAAGGTATGTGAGATACCTGGATAGGCAGGCTCGTGGCGACGTTGGGGCTAGGACAAAGTCGTGGTTCGGCTCCTTGCTCTCGGCTTGGAAGGTCTGCGCGGTTGGGAAAAGATACTCACCGTTTGCCGTCAAGGACTTCGAAAATTTCATGAAAGGTTCGTCTCCCCCAACGGCCATTTCTCGTCTTAGGTTGGAAGAAGCAAGGAGTTTCTTCATATCTGATTTGCAGGCCCTACGTAATTTGTAGTCGAAGAGTAAAGGGGAAATCGTGGATGTCAAAGATGAGGAAGCTACGATCAGCCGAAGAATATTCTTAGCATTGGTCTGGAGAAGAGAGGCGTAGAGGAGACCGGAAGGCGATCGGTGGCCAGTCAGATGTAAGGGACGGGCTGGATTGATGAGGCAATATATGAGGGCTTCAAGTGTAGTAAGTATCCTGGAAGGATACCGAGTGGGAAGAGCACTGTCTTTCAGTCACCCGGCTTAGATATGACCCAGTGAAGGAAGTGCAGTGTAACAAGCTCGTTCGTGCCAGAGCCGTTGTATATCTGGAGAATAATAATGCAAGAAGGAGGCTGCGAAGTTTCCACATCAGGCAGTTGGGTCCAAAGAGCGTCGCATATTGGCCGAAGCCCATACTGGTACACATTTGTCACCTTACACTTCCAAGAATACGTCAGTTTTACTTGATTCACTGGAATGTCGTTTTCCACCACAATCACCATGTTCTTCTCTTCACAAGACTCGAAGCAAACCAACGAGGGCACCACATCCCTCATGCCTCCTCCCACGCAAACATGCTTCTTCAACCCGCGCATCATCCCACCGAGCCCAACTAGTTCATCGTAATGCCTTCGTATCCCTCTCCTGAATAGAGCCAATGTCTGCAAGACGTGTACATGTCGCCCTTTGACGATCGCCATGCGAAGAAGAAGCTAGTATATAATCCTGGACGGTTGTCCCTTCCCCAAAAGACCCTCCTCTAACGGTACGTCTCTATGATGGTATCCACCTCGAAGCAGTTGTACATGGTGAGCAGAAAGGGCCATAATTAGTCATGCCGAACCCAAATGTTCGTATCCCTTGAAACGCCTAATCCCCAATAACCCATGCCCTGCTATTATAGACCCTTTTGTGTGTAATGTAAATGTCGTGCGTCTGTGGCTTAACCCATACGACGGCGTCTCCACACCGTGATGTAGTGTATGGTGGATGACGTCTGTCAGAAGAACTTGGACATCGCTCTGCTGAGGTCGATAAAGTCGACAGGCTTCGTGACGTAGTCGCTGAATCCGGCCGCTACGCACTTGTCGTGGACGTCGGACATGACATTGGCCGACAGCGCAATGATGGGTAGTTTTTTGAAGCCCCTTTCCCTCTCCCATTGTCGGATCTCCCGACAGGCCTGGTAGCCGTCCTTGCGTGGCATATGTAGGTCGCACTGAAAAGTTAGTATATGGTCTTCATTTAGAAAGACGGACACTTACCAGTATTAAGGAGTAATAGTTGTGCGAGCGGGCCAATACCATGTCGGTGCACTCGACTCCGTCTGCGGCCACCTCGACATCCACCCCTACCTTCTTCAGATACTTTTGCAGGACTTTTTGGTTAACAGGATTATCCTCAACCAGTAGCACCTTATACCCCTTGTTGCCCATACGCTTGCCAATCTCCTGATAGCTCGCCTTCTGGGTCTCAACCATTCGCTGTGCGGTGGAGCGATTGCGATCGATGCTGAGATCGCGCACCTTGTCAGGATCGAAAATGACAGCGAATCGTGAGGGTTTGACCGGCTTGTAAATGAACGTCACAATGTTCTCCGACACGAGCCTCTCGTACTCTGTGTCAGTCGCCAGCCTCATCACGGCTTGCCGCTGGACCGAGTCGGACAGAATGAGAATGGTCGTATCCCTGATTGTCGTCGATCTAATGATCTGTTCCATCAGACCAATAATCTCTTCCGGGGACGGCAAATTGATGACAATATGCGTGAAGTTAACCGAGTCACCTTCCCCTAGCAACCTCTGTGCCTTTTCGGTTGAATCTAGGGCGGTGATCTGATGGGGCACATCCTTGGGCAGCGTCATCTCAATGTGCTGTGCAGTGGCCTCACGGCTGTGGGTCTGCGGGCAGATGATGAGGATGGAGTACATGGGCGGCTTGAGGTCTTCAGTTTTTCCGGGCTTGGCAGTCTCTGGCGTTGGCGTCGTTCCTGGCGAGGACTCGCCCGAGGGCAGCTCCAGCTTCATCTGCGACAAGTCTTGGCCACTCGCGCGGGCAGCCTCACTGAAGTGGACAAGACCGACGTTGACTGATGACACGGACGTACGCTCCGTAGTTTGAGAGATGCTGGACCGTACCGAAGGATCCGAACTTCCGCTAGAAGCCAGGGCCGGTGACACGAACCCGGGTTCGGCCCGCGGACTAATGGTTGATGCTGCCCTGGGCGATTGTAGGGTCTTCGCAGGACGATGCACGCTTAGCTCTTGGGCGGTCTCAGCCGGAGTGTCGAGTGTCTCCGGGCTCAAGGGTGCGTCGGGATGATCTTCCTTGGTCGGCAGAGCGAACTTGGCGGTAAAGGTAAACGTCGAACCCTTGCCGGGGACTGCGCTTCCTTCCATCTTACCGCCGTGAAGCTCCACCAATTGCCTTGAAATGACGAGGCCGAGGCCACTACCGCCGTGCTGCCTCGTGCTACTGCCGTCGATCTGGCTGAATGGCTTAAAAATGAGGTCGGCCTCTTCCTTGGTGAATCCACGCCCCGTGTCGATGATAGCGAACTCGAGCACAATCTCATTATCAAGGTTGGACGACGCTCCATCTTTGTAAACCCTACACCGGCTGAACACCTCACCCTCTGTCGTAAACTTTATGGCATTTCCGATAACGTTGAGTAGGACCTGGCGAATGCGGACTTTGTCGCCCTTGACCCATGCCGGCACATCCTCTTCGACAATGTAGTTCAGTTCCAGCCTCTTGGCAATAGCCATGGTGGACACCAGCTCATTGACGTCCTCAATGAGGGAGCGTGTGTGGAACCACTCATACTTGAGCTTCATCATACCGGCGTCCACCTTGGACAAGTCAAGGATGTCGTTAATAATCATTAGCAAGCTATTGGCGCTTGTCTGGATCGTGTTGGTGTAGTCGCGCTGCTCCTCATTCAGGACGGTGTCCTGCAGGAAGCTGACCATGCCAGAAATGCCAATAAGTGGTGTTCGAATCTCATGTGACATATTGCTAAGAAACCTGCTCTTGGACTCCATAGCCTCCTTGAGCTTTGCCTCGAGCAGCTTGTGGTCGTTAATATCCGTGGCTGAGCCAAAGTACGAGCTGGCTCCGTTCCCAAAGTCGATGTTGTCAATCTCAACGCAGCGGATCAGATGCCACCTGTACTCGCCGTTCTTGGACCGCAACCGTACCTCCGTGGTGTACGAGAGTCTGCCATTGCTGTCGGTAGTCACCTTGATAACGCCCTGCCTTGCCAACACTGTGATGTCAGCGGTAGGCATCTCGTAGACCGAGCTGCTACTAGAACTGTTATTTCGCGACAGTGCTTGGTGGATGCCCCTAAGGTTCGTCTCCAGCTGGCTCTGCACTTTACTTGACACGACGCTGGTCGGCATTGCCTCGGATAGTTCTTGGTGGCCTTTGCGATCGAATTTGGAAGGCATCGGGGTTGGTGGCCGGTCTGTTGGTATCTGACACTTGGCCAAGTCGTCGGGGTGTACGAAGTCCATGAAGCCCAATCCTAGGGAGTCTTCAAAGCTCTGACCGGTATATGAGAGCCATTGCTCGTTGGCAAACGTGATGCCTTCATCTTCGGTAGCAGTGAATATGATTTGGGGGATGAGATTGGCCAGTAATCTGTGCTTGGCTTCAGAGGCCTCAATCTCCTCTTGCCGCGCAGCCTTTAGCTCTGCGATGTGCTGGTCGTGGATATCCATGTATGAACCGAGGAATTGCATCATGACGCCCCGTTTATCGCGTGATGCAACTGCACGCGCATAGAACCATCGGTACGCCCCATCAAACCGCCTGATACGAACAGTCCTCGAGAACTGCTCTCCAGTCCGCAATGAGTGGCTCCACGCCTTGAGGTATTCATCTCTATCATCTGGGTGAATGCTCCCCCAGGGGTCAGCAGCCAGGTCGCTGACCGTTTGCCCACGGTATGTTAAATAGCGACTGTTCACCCATACGATCTCGCCTGTCTGCGGTAGCGAGACAAACACGTGGGCGGGTAGAGAGTCGAGTATGAGACCCTTGAGCCGGTCCGACGGCGGTGGCATATCAACTGGGCCTTGCGACAATGAGCCCGTCCGGGAGGGCGCGGTATGGGGCACTGGCCTGCTGACTACGCTCGAGCTGGGTGGTAAAGACTGGAAACTAGTCGCAAAGTCGGCACCATATGAGTGCAATAGTGTGTGGTGACTGTGGTCTCCGCCCTTGTGTTCGACTGGCTTGAGGCGGGGTTCTAGCACAGCGATCTCGTCCAGGTAGTTCTTCAGCTCGTGTGAAAGGACCCGTTTGGCGCCTCCAGGCGTGGAAGCCCGGCTTTCCGTGTTCTTCTCTGCGACCTCTGGGCTCTCCCCCAGTGGCTGAGAGGTTTCCTGGATACGGGGCCTGTGCGTCGCAGAGAGAGGAGCTTGACGCTTGTCGACAGGCGATTCCCCCTTTGAACCCCTCCTCGTCGTCTGTGAGTTTGTTGACGATTCCACCCTTGAGGCAGCCGATTTCTGTTTCGTGTTGAAGTAGCCATCGCCGCTAGTTTGCGCGGGACTGGTTGCGGAACCTCGCTTGTCGATAAGCTGGTGTAGAGAGCTCTGATCCCAGCCAGGCGTACCAATTGGGGAGCCAGTGGCGCTTTTGGAAATACCGGAGTAGTCGCTAGGGCTCGTGATGCTGCCCGCCAACGAACGTTGGGCAGCGATGTCATCCGAGGGCATGAAGCTCAGATTGCCGATGCTGGCAGGGTCCGCCAGTGGGCGGCCATCGGCTGCAAGAGCACCAAACCCAGCCGTGTGAGGCCTACGGCGGTGAAGGCCGGTGAGCTCTGTCTCCAAGTTTGTGTAATGACGACACAAAGAGAAGGATGTTGCCAGGTGCGGGGCGAGGTATTCCAGCGAATGGCGAAGGTTTGAGGGGTATGGGATGATGGGACTAAGTATCGAGAGGATGGCGATGGGTGCCGGCCTGTCTTTTCGCTGCCAGGAGGCCTCGGCATCGTCTTCATCTGCTGAGGGCTCTGGTGCTTCGTTCCAACTACGGGAATGCGATTTTTGTTCCAATATTGAGTTGTTGAGCTTGAAAGGACGGGCAGGTTTTGATAGAAGGACGTGCGTCAGCGGAATGTGGAGGACGGTCCACGAATTGTCCACGCCGATGGCTTCTGGCGGCCGCATTCCGGTGTAGTCAGTCGGGGCAGAATCAGGGTTAAAAGAGTCCTCGTCGACCATGGCGTCGGTGAAAAAGGGGTTCTCCGTAGGATCTGCACGCACCGCCGGCGAGGGGGCTGGTGACTGAGACCACGGGGATGGCGGAGCCTGCTCAAATTCTTCGTATTTAGGTGTCGGCGGTCGTGGCTCACCGTCATCAAGCCGGGAGATCATGCTGGACGGTTTGTCACTGCTGTGGCTGCGGTTCGAGCCGAATGATGAGTTTGCGCCGCCGAGAATTGACGACAACTTTGAGCTGGACTCAATCCTACCCTTCCTTAGTTTCTTCCTTGCTGCCTCTGCTGAGGTCGTGTTGGCCGTCACCTTGGACTTGATATGCATTTCTTCCGGCAGGTTCTGCAAATACGGATAACTCCTCGTCAGTGCAATCACCTTGCCACGCTCCAGAACACGCATAACACCGCTGTGGTGAATAAGAGGGTCGGCCTCGTAGTCCAGAGCTTGAAGCACGGGGAGTACCCTCCCTGCGGTATTAGTGTTGGCTAGGGGGGCTTCCCAGCTCGGGATGTTCTGCTCCTCGGCATCATGTTCGGCGAGTGCCGACTTGTTCAGTACTGGGCCCGGCGCCTCCACGTTTTGCTGGGAAGCCTCTGCGTCCTCTTGCGACGCCTGACCAGGCGGGAAGTAGCTCTTGCTCCTGCCAAGCTGTGTTGGGCGGCGCGATGGTAGAAGCCTGTCATTGTTTCCTTTGCGTTCTCTATTATCCTCGTAGGCAGTGAACGAGTGGCGTGTCTGCAGGCTCGGGCGAGACAGCAACCTTGGGCGCGCAGGATCCTCGGACGCGGAAGGAGTTTCTTCGGAGCCGACATCGCCTGCGCTGCTGGGGATAAGACTGCTGCCTCTGGCCATGTACCCGAGGCTCAGTTCGTCCTCTTGGTGCTCATTGTACGTCGCCTTCTGGCCCCAGGGCACATTCTCAATGTCGGTAGAGTCGGCTGGTACAGCAAGCGTGACTCGCTCAGCTTTGTACACGTCTCTCATGATCTGGACGACAGTGTTCCACCAGGCATCCAGTCCCGGCTCGGCGGTGAGCATTAGTGACAAGTCATATAGATTCGGGCTCGGAAAGTCGCCCTCCAACTGACCGGTGGCTCCGGCGGGAAGAAAAGTGAGCGCCGATGCGGGCGTCGATGAGCCGGACAACACTCTATCCTGAGCGGACCCAAAGCCCTCAAACGACATAGTCTGCGACATGAAAGCGGCGGCAGTTGGTGACATATTTCCAAACGCCCTATTCATTGAGCTGGGACCGTAGCCCGGGGTGTGCATGCGCGGAAATGGGTAGGATGGGGTGCCGGCGACATTTCCTGGCGCCATGCCGCCGCGGACGGTATTACCAGACTCGGTGGAAGTTGTTGTAAGGTTTGACAATGATGTTGACATGGCGGCAATGTTGCTGCGCGGCGAATTGCCACTCTCCTCCAGAATCGGTGACACGCGCATCTTTTCGGGGGTGGTCGCCGTCAGCCCTCTCGTCACCATCTCACGCCTCTCCAGATCTCGTGCCAATCGCTCTCGATATCGATTTAGTTGGATCTGTGATTCGGAAGGAGCAGGTTGTGAGGGGGCGGCGGTGGTCCCTGCGGCCTCGTCTTCTCTACTTTTTTCTTCCTTGCCGCCCAATCCACCAACGTCATTGTAGGTCTGGGACGCGTCCACGCTGCTCTTCAAGTTAGTATCGGGACTAGAAGTCGCGGGTTTGGTCGCGGAGGGCTCGGCTTGCGCCTTGGAGCGATCAGCCTGAGACTGTGAAGAAGACTGCTCCTTGGACGCATCCGACATTGCGACTCGCGCATTTCCACCGAGCTTAAGGGAGTCGAGGGTCAGTCCATAACGGGGGCTCGGCAGGTTGCGTGGCGGTTCTTTGGTAGGCGACTTTTTCGAGTCGGACGAGGTTCGTCTTGGAAGGCTAAGCCGACGCGCAGAGGACGAGTCTTTCTTGTCTGCTGGAAGGCTCGTGCTTGGCATTCCTCATAGAACAGAGCGCCCCATATACAGATGTTCTTTTTCGAAGAGCAGGAGGAAATTATTGGTGCCGCTTCGAGACTAGGGTTGGCCAAGGTTGGACGACGGAGTGGCGATGGCGGCAAGCGTCTCGTGGTAGAGTCGAGAAGAGAGGAAGACGGCGAGGGGTTCGGCGGGAGAGGATGAGCAGTGGAGAGGGGGGGGTTAGAAAATTCGATCGGTGAGGTTGCGGTTAGGAGCAGAGTAAGTGGCGATCCAAGAGTCAAGAGAAAGTGCCGTCGGGAGAAGCGCGCGGGGCGGTAGTGGAGGTCTTGATCGGTGCGGTTTGGTTTGGTTTGATAATTACTTGGTGGTGGTGGTGGTGGTGGTGGTGGCAGTGGTAAAAGCGGTAGGTAAGGTTGATGTGGTATGGATGGGATGTGCGTTTGGACTGAAGTGGTTTGGACCGAACGAGGGTGGATGGGACAGGGACTAGGACTGGGTCTAGTGTACGGTACGATAGGAAAGGGGACAGAGAATAGAAGCACTTGTCATATGTGCACCTCTGAGATAGAACCCGGCAGTCTCCTCCCTCTTTCTCGCTCTAGTGCATGTCTCTCAGTTTGCGGCGACGGCGGAGCCTGACGGTGACGGAGACGGTAACGGAGAACGGGAGAGGGGAGCAAAAAGGAAGTGAAGCGAAGAAAAACATAGTAGGAGGGCGCGGGAGCGAAGGCAGAGCAGAGCCGGAAGAACAAAAATGGGCGGGCAGTCCACCCAGTACCTATGACGTAACACTGTCCAGCCGAATACCTACACGACGGGACGACCCAGAGTGACTGAAGGAGGCGAACAGCGACGGTCAGCTTCAGCGCAGTAGTCAATGTCTCGGGCTTGCACGCGCAGCAGCATCGATTGGCTTTAATTTTCTCACCCTCTCATCACGGCGTTAGTCCAAGGTGAAAGAAATTACCGTAGATGACCTCCTTTCCCGATCCGTAAATCGAGCTCTTTTCCGATGGCTCTTGAGCAGAAAATACTCAATTGCAGGCAGCCTTCCTTCCAAAGTCCCAATCACAGATGTGAAAGGAGAGGGAGGAAGGGGAAGGGTTGAGGGGAATACCGCCAACAGGTGCTTCCTTGGAAGAATAAAGTGGTTTGGTGGGGATGAGACAAGTACCGGTACTCATCGTCCGTCCGGGATGTCATATGGGTACACTACCTACACTCACTACCTTTCGGGGCTCACCACCACATGATGGACCGGAAGTTGACGGACAATTGATTACGAGCGAAATTTGTGCGTCTCATCTCGCCCAGTCGATATCATAGGTCTTGGGCGTCACTGTTTTGACAGTAAGTAGTCGCTCCTCCCTAAAGGCAATCCTGGGCGTTGTGGTCTTGACAACTGCCTGGGCCAGCAATGCGCAGGCATCCTGCCCACATCGAGATACCTTCCAAAAAAAATAAGCTCCCCGCCCAAAGCGCTTGGCCCCCAGCGAATGTCATCCAGTCAGAGTGCGCGCATCCAAGACGCAGCTGAATTAAGTGCCTCCTTCCATGCTTGTACCTGTACTTCTCCATGTACTGTACATCTCATAGCAGGATGTGGAGATTCATAGTGGATACGTACTCCATTACATCACACAGTCGTCGCTACCGCCCCCCCGTCTCCACGTCCGGCATCCACTTAACCAAATCTGACTCCCCGTCTTCATTGTACATAGTACTCCGTACTTGTTCTCACGATCACAAAGTACTGAGGCAATCCGTCATCCGTCATCCGTCATCCGTTACCTACTGCTCTGATGTTGTCCCGCCCTGGTCAACGCGATTCACCGTGCAGAAACGTGTGCCCAACTCTGCGGATATAGAGCCGTAGTCTCATTCAGCATGGCCCCATCTCCTCGTTCAAGCAGGCCTATTGGTACCTAACTCTGTTTGTCTCTGGCCCGCACCGCCTGGCAATGGCTTCTCGGGGGCGCGACACAAGGCTTCATCGGTGTCTTGTTTCCTCCCTTTCAACTGCAACTCCATGGTAACACAGCCCACCACACTGAGCCGCTATTGTTGTCAGGAATACCTTTACACCACCAGCTTCCCGCTGTCGCCTTGCATACATGAGGCGCCGGAATCCAACCACTAGCCGGCCTCGTCCGACAGGTTGAACTCTCCCCAGACCATGATTCCTCCGTTTAACCTCCAAACAAGTAGCTCAGACGGAGACGCCCAGGTATCCGGCCCGATTTAATACACCATGCGGCAATCGAAACCTTCAGAGCTACGGTGTAGGTTGTCCGGATCGCCCGCCTTGTCCATGGGATCCCCCCGTACACGGCGGCCCTCAAGCAGGAAAATGGGTTACCGGTATTTTCACGGCCCCCTTCTGGTATTTTCACGGCCCACCCGCCACCACCGCCACAATACACCCAAATAACACATTCCATCACCCTAACACAACCAACTAACCCAGACCCTCACCACTAACCCTACGCATCTTTTATATTATACTTTTAAAGATGCGTAGGGTTAGTGGTTAGGATGGTTAGGGTCTGGGTTACTTGGTTATGTTAGGGTGATGGAGTGGAATATAGTATTCCCGACGGGACTAACTAAGATAGGAGAGAGACTAGCCTAGATGGGCTTAGAGGGCCGTGAAAGTACCACAAGGGGGCCGTGAAAATACCTGTAACCAGGAAAATGAGCCTCACTTCCGATAAACTCTATCCCAGTTGCCCACAAAAATATCAAGTACGTTGCAACATTGAAGACAGCCACGCGTGTTGTTACAGCATGTCCACAACTAACACGATACCACGATACCAAGAATACGCCCTACAACAGACACTGGACCGCTGTCTCCGGACACGATGGGCCCGTACGCCATGTGTACTTGATTCACTCCAATCCCTGTACGAACGATATCCTCACGCGTGGGCTCCAAACTCGCCACGCGACCAGCCGCAATTTTATGCCGCTCTTATGTTTCCGATCTTTCAACTCAGCTCGCTGCTTCGCCAATACCTACAGCATACGGCAAGGTTTGCTAAGCCATTCATCCATGGATATAGCAATGTCCAAGATGGTAGTAGTCAAAGTCGTAGAGCTCCCGCCCCGGCTCCCCGCCAGTGGTGGAGTGACGAATTATTGGACGACACTGTTCGGTCACGTACAAGGCTTCGTTGACGACTTCGATCGAGGATGTGGGGTTTTGTGAACATAAACAGTCGAAGGACCCCACTGCACCAGGGCAAGAAATTGGGATATGCCCTGATAAATGGTGAAGTGTACCGCAGCTTCATGAAATCTACAGCCTCCCCTACCGCCGACGTACGTGTGCACTGGCGTAGGTATTTTTCATGCTGTTGGTCACACAAAGACTGACAGCAGCATGATCATATTTGCAGACTGCACCCTTGCGGAGCGGCCGACCAGACCAGGCTGGCCTTGCCGGTGATCTGTCTTCGCTAAGGCAGTTTATTGCACACAAGCTTGTCAGCCTGTCGGCAAGTGTTGGAGATACTTCCCACAGAATCGCGATCGTCAACGGGCTCGCTATTCGTAGAAAGCAGCTCGCAAGCGTTCACTACCCAATCCAAGAAAAAGAATGCCATGGAGTGCAGGCCAGATCAAAGCATTCTGCCCACCTAAGGTCGGATTCCCATCTATGCAACAACATCGCAGACACTCACCCGCCACGTAAACGGACGGATGTCCGCCATTTCTTGCCTGTGTCATCGGAATCTTCTTCCTCCCACAGATTACTCGGCAGTCCCTGGGGCAGTCCCTTAGCTGACGGCCATCCGATGTCCACTTTGCATAACTACCTATTTTGACCGACCCGATTTCCAACTGGACCCTTCTTTTTACTCCCCAGCGGTTTTTAGGCAGCGCCTCATAGCAACGAGATGGTCTCCGAGCTAACGGACGCTGCTCCGGTTGGAAAGCGGTTGGAAAGTACAATCAAAGGCGCTTGAATGTGCTGCCCAGGTATTTCAACCCCAATGAGGCAACATCCAGTTTCCGCAGACAACGCATGACCTGGCTAACCCCTGAAGCATGTCAATACCACGCTAAATGAGTGTCAAATGACGTAACGATGCATCATTAGCCAGGTGGCTTTCTCGATTGCGCGCTATCCGTACATTTACTGGGTATCCTGGCCCAATGGAGCGGAATAGGTAGGTATGGAACTTGGTCCCTCCTCCGTCGGTACGTACCATTCTGGGTAAATCGGATTTTTTGGTTATGTCTTTTTTTATCTTTACTTTCTCGTCGTTGCATGTTCGAACCCCACTCCCCGTTAAAAGCTGCTCCAAAGGTTATCAAGATTTGTTCCATTTTGTTGTATTCATAGGTGGTAATTACAGGCTGTCTCCAGCAGGCATAGTCCTGAGACACTGACCTTTGACATGTTTTCTGCAATAACCCGACAACGCTCTGGAAGCCTTCCCCTTCTGTCTGCAGCCATGGCCATGGGCGTTTTCACTGCCGGTGGTCGTGATACGCCCTCCTGTTCGACACCCATACCAACCAGCAAGAGGGCGTTTTGATACAAATTCTCTTGTCTGGCTGTGGTGATCGGCTTGCAGCAGTCTCGTATCACTAGCTACAGCGTTCACCTGGGTTGCGGCATGCACACACATTAGTGTACCCGCCCGTTTAGTGCCCATTCATCCTCTCTGTCGGGCATTCTTGTCTGACTTAATCATCTTTGTCATTGTGTTGTGTCTGCTGATTACAAGCTCTCAGAGGGCCTTTCTAGCACTAGACTGTGCAAGCCTGCCCAGAGTACTGTACCCAGCTAATGTGGCCGTTTCGACAAGAGCATTCACAGAATGTTCTTTGTCCTCTTTGGCTTCGACTTTGGACGAACAAAGACAGAAGGGCTGAAGACGATCAGCGGTCTTCCTACTGAAAGCGTATTCCTCTCGCCATGTACCTACGAAGAATGGGAGAAGGAGCCAATCCGTGTTGCGGAACCCACAGCACGTTAGTTACCTTGATCATCGATGAGATGTCTTGTTCCTGTCTGCGTGCCAAGCCTTGCGTATCATGCCTCCCAGGGACCAACTAGACAGAGCGTCGGCATTGGTGCGTTCAAAGGGTAGTCGTCATTAGGGAGCCACAATGTTCCAGCCCCGTCCCGTTCAGTGCACCAGCCACGGATACTGCTGACACATTTGTTGAGGTCCAATAGTTAGTTGCATTACTAGGTATTCTACTGTCAAGGCACAACAACAACCACAACAACAACAACAACAACAACAACATCCTCCCGTATACCTCCAATCCCGAAACTCTTGTGGTTTGAACCACTGCTCTATAGATAGCTAAACCCTAGTGGCGGCTGCTTAAACGGCCTACCGAGGCACAGCATGCTTACCATGCCGGGCATATCTGCCCGGAAGCCTTCCTCGAAACTTTACTAGAATTTAGCTTGACGGGAGTGGTGAAAGACTTCTTGGCCAATCGCCACGAGTACCGAATTTTATGGTTGAATGAAAATGGCGACCGTGTACAGGGTGTTGGCAGCCCGAGGCGTGCGGCCCCTTCTCTAAACCAGAGATCATCGTCGATCTTGATAAATGAGGTTTCATTTGCATTCGCTAAAGACTGCCCCGCACGTCTAGGGTTGAGGTTTCGATCCTTCCGATAAAGCTTATGTTCAAGCCTCGACTGCTGTCCGCTGGTCCCCCCATCTCGCACATACACTTACAACTCTGGCTGTCTGGCACCCTTCATATTCAAGAGGCGGAAGCGCGTTATGTCTAAACGCTGTCCTGGCAACGTGACGTATTCATATACGGCCCTGGGAGTGTTACAAGTCCATAAGTTCGGTCTTTTTCTGGCTACAAAGCAGTGGACATAGCATTAGTGCACTTCAGACAAGGCCATAGTCCTGGCAACATGCAGTCTGTGTGTGGCTTCAGAGGGGGCCGCCCAGTTCCTCGCACCGATTGGCGTTCTCCGGGGTCTACTCCGATGGTCTCAGCTGACGTCGCTACGTGATGCGAACACAGCACAGTGGTGCATGTACATGTCAATAAAAGGTTCTTGTGGCCTAGAGGCAATGAAACCTGGTTGTTTGTTAACACTGACGCGAACTACCTGGTAGATGTATGTATTGAAACCAGATTGAAGCAAAAACATACAACACCGGGTATTCGCTGGTCGTCACCGACCCAACTACTAATCCGGCCCTCACTGGCTTATCTATGGGAGAGCGGACGGGATCCCGAGTTTTCCAGTGGGTATGGTCGTATGTGAAGGAATGCGGTTGCAATGTGAACTATAGTGTGACTTCACAGGATTTGGCAGCAAAACTGCGGGGACGGTTCATGTATCAGACCCGTGCCCTATTTCAGCTGCCTAAACGTGTAATGTAGACTCAACTACTCAATAAACGAAGGGGATTTGTTGTATTCTGCCTCTTCTATTACGATTGGATCTTAATCCGTTGCATGGGATTATCAAACAGACAGGACGCAGATATCTACGGATCATCGTATCCTACAGTCTCACAGCAACTGCGACTCCATGTGGCCACTAAAGCCTTGCTATACCTCAGCTGATACAAATTGCGGCTATCGTGGTGCCGATCGGGGTTTTCTAGCACATGGAAATATTACATCAACCCCGTTCCGCATGAGGCTGGCCTGGCCATTTCTACATGTTGTCCGAGTACCAACCCGAGCTGTACCACTGGGCGGAACGCATTCACACAGCCGATTCTACATCTGGAGTTCGAAGCGGCTCTCAGTGAAGAGTCAGTGGGGAACATTGTGTCATTCGGTGTTCCCCAGGGCCTGGTAGGTGGTTGTAGAATTGTTGTCGACGAATCCTACAGTTACAGAGACATATTCTTTTAACATTGCTACGTTTTCAAGCTGCGGCGGAACATATGCCAACCCATTCAAAGGCGTAAAACAAGTCAACTCGGATATGCTGCCGAGTCGTACAATATAGCAAGCCACAACAGGAATGTCTAACTCTGACGATAAGCTGCGATTCCTCGCTTTCGCATATTACTATGCCTTCGGGGAAGAAAACATGCAACAGATGTTTTCTGGGTTTGAAATAAACGATGTTGTAACGAGTCCTGCAAGGCCCCACGGTTCTGCTCACAACAAAGCTTGTACTGACCAATATTTACCTGGCTCTGGTATAAGCTGTGCCAATCAGTGTAGACCACAGACAGCAGTTTGATGTCTTTAAAGTGACATATCAATAAGCCTCGATACTATGCATAGCCAGTACTTTACACCTGAGTCGCGATATGATAGAAACGATAGCTGTGCCCAATGGAACAGGGCAAAACGTCTCAAGCGGGCATGGAGATAGCACATGGGTGCTGGTAGTGATGTGAATTGCAGAAGTAGCCGAGGAAAATATACAAATTCAATCCTATAACTGCATGTGCTGTGCTAACTGCTGCGACAATGTCGTCCTAGAACACCAGAAGAAGCATGGTACCTGACCAATCTCGGTACCATGGAGAGAAGCAGCTTCGGACGCGCATCATTCTCCAGTGAGAGACGATAACAGAGTCGAAGTGAAGGAGGATGATAAACACAGATAGAACCCCCAAACCAAATTCGAACATGTTGAACTTAAACTGTGTTGCTCACCCAACTTGCAATCGTCAAGGATTTATTTCTCATGAAAGATTTGCGACAGCATGCGGACTGGATTTCCTAGGCACATACCAAACAAGAAACATATTCGGCAAAATGAACGAGGAGAGGAATAGACGGCTGAGTTACAGATGGGATATAGGGTGAATTCTTGATGTTTACTCGACTCGGTCTTTCAGAGAGACCGAAGGACGCCGTATCGCTGGCATTGATGTTCAACTACTCGGGGAGGGATAGAGAGCCCAATCTACTTACTGACTCACACATCTCAGAGATTATCCGCCTTATCCGACTGAAGGATATCCTGACGGAAGCGGCATTGAAGCAGATGGGTTTTGTTTCCTCAAGCTTAGCTAGCTTGGCTATGCCCGAAGACCTTGGTGTCTGGGTAGGTGCCCCGATTGCAACCAAGGCTGTACTCGAAGTCATCAGCGACAGTAATTGATCTGCTATGGCACAGGCCATTGATGGGCTGCTACGGCCCCGTTGGATGTAACGGACGTTGCCTTTGGCCCGTTATTTGCATGGAAAGGGCCCCACTTACAGCATTCCGGCTCCGGCCTGAATTGAGTTGCTGCGTCTCCTCGGAGCTCCGTACATCTGCTGTACGATCCCACCTTAGGTACCTACGGCCGCCGTAATTCAAAACAGACCATAAAGTTCGAGGTTGGGTCCAGTCGGACCGGGAGTTGTTTTGTTTTGCCTGGCTCAGCATGCCTGATGTGTGTTGGACACCATACAAGCATACAGCAACACTGTCGTGCAGGGCTACCAATGCATCGATTGTAGAAAAACCTACCGGAGACAATCCTCAATATAATCGAGTTGATGTCAATGACTGCTCAATGGAGCATGTGAAGCTCACTTGGCAGGGGGTGTGCTGTGTGAACTCTGATTGGCTACACAAAAAGATCCCACGCCAACCAACAGGCGAGGCTGCGATCGTTTATTTGTAGCCTTGTCCTCCTACATCACGTCCCTCACCACCTCACTGAGCGCGTGACCATTCTGCGCAACGCCCACCTACTATAACAACCCTTCCAACCGGGCTTCAAAAATCGCTGTAATACCTCCAAAAGAAAGCCGACCGCAAAAGGCGAACATACTCCCACACGAGACCGATTGGCCCACCGACGTCACCAACCATGGCCGACTCCGACGGCGAGTACCATGACATGTCTGATGACGACCTCCATGTGACAAACGGTAAGGGAGTAGACGGCGGGAAGGGCCGCGGGAAGAAGGGGAAGGGCGGTCACACGAAGGCGCGATGGGAGGACGTGAAGCGAAGCTGGGAAGAAGTCACAGAAGGCGCGGATGGCAGTTTGGCGGTTGGCGCGAGCCTCGAGGCCGAGAAGAGGCGGAGGCTGCTCCGAGACACAACACCACTGCAGCGCGGCATCATCAGACACTTGGTTCTGGTGCTAGACATGTCCTTCGCGATGGCAGAGAAGGACATGCTGCCGAACCGGTACCGTGTCGCATGGGCGTACGCGGCAGATTTTGTCAAGGAATACTTCGAGCAGAACCCTATCTCGCAGCTAGGCATCATCGGCATGCGGGACGGCGTCGCGATCCGGATCAGCGATATGAGTGGCAACCCGACCGATCACCTGGAGAAGCTCAAGACATTTGAGGGACAAGATCCGTCGGGCAACCCGAGCCTGCAGAATGCGCTTGAGATGTGCCGCGGCGCGCTGTTGTACGAGCCCCCCATCCATCTGACCATCAGAGTGTGCCATACTAAGCTCTTCCAGCCACGCACCCTCCCACGGTACGCGCGAAGTGCTTATTGTGTTTGGTGCTCTCTTGTCCTCCGACCCGGGCGACATTCACGATACAATATCATCCCTTATTACCGACCGTATCCGCGTGTCCATCGTCGGCCTCGCGGCGCAGGTCGCTATCTGCGCGGAGCTATGCTCTCGCACAAATGCCGGCGATGAAACGCAGTACAGCGTGTGCATGAATGACGCGCACTTCCGCGATCTCCTCCTCGCCACGACGACGCCGCCCGTCACACGGACCGTCGCCCAGAGCACCGCCTCGCTGCTCATGATGGGCTTCCCATCGCGCACTCTTGCGCAGGGCGAGGCTACCGCCGTCTGCGCCTGCCATAACAAGCCCGCCCGCGAGGGCTACCTTTGCACCCGCTGCGGCACGCGCGTGTGTCGCCTACCCATCGAGTGTCCCGCCTGCAGCCTAACCCTCATCCTATCAACGCATCTTGCCCGCTCATACCACCACCTCTTCCCGCTGAGGAATTGGATTGAGGTGTCTTGGGCCGAGGCCGCCAAGTCGAAAGCCTGCTACTCGTGTCTGACAACGTTCCCCGAACCACCCAAGACGGGCAGAAGAAAGGACAAAGATAAAGACAAGGAAAAGGATGGGTTGCACACAACGGCTCCCGTAGCGCCGACGCCGGTGACCGCGTCGGACCTCAAGGGCGTTAGTGAGAGCGGGCGGTACTCCTGTACGGTATGCGGCAACCACTTCTGCATCGACTGCGACGTCTACGCGCACGAAGTCATCCACAATTGCCCCGGGTGCCAGAGTGACACCCGCGGGGCGCCGATGAAGGTGGTAACGGAGACAAATGGGTTACACGCCCACCAGACGAACGGGACGGCAATGGTGGTGGACTCATGATTGACTGGATTCAAGAGCGCTTAGAGGCGACGGCCATACCTTTGAAGGCAACCTAGAGAACAAGAGATCGCCATATTATTGGCGAGGAAGGTAAATTTAAGGTCACTACTGGGGTACGATTGAAACAACGGGGCAGCATTGTGAGGGCAGGACGGGACAAGAAAACAGCGTATAGGCGCAAGGGGGCCTGAATTGGGGCCATGTTTGAATACACCTATTGTTACTACATATTTTCATCAATGCCATACAACCCCTTTGCTGATCCAGCAGGGGGTTCCACCGGGTCGTACCATGCATTGACAAATATGGTCATCATGCCTCGAGAAATGTCCTCCTCACAGGCTTACAAGTTACCCCGCTCGGCCTGCTCCCGCTCAATGGCCTCGAACAGGCTCTTGAAGTTGCCAGCCCCGAATCCTTCAAAGTGGTTCCGCTGGATGATTTCGATGAACACAGTTGGACGGTCCATCAACGGCTTCGTGAAGAGCTGTAGCAGATAGCCCTGCTCGTCGTAGTCGATGAGAATGTTGAGAGCCTCGATGGTGGCGAGGTCCTCCTTGAGCTCCCAGTTTCGCCTCTCCGTCTTGAGACGATGGCGCATGGTGTCGTAGTAGGTCGAGGGAACGGCAATGAACTCGACGCCGCGGGCGCGCATGGCCGAGACGGTGGCAATAATGTCGTGCGTCAGCAGAGCGATATGCTGGACGCCGGCTCCCGAGTTGAAGACGACGTACTCCTCGATCTGGGACTTCTTCTTGCCCGGGGCGGGCTCGTTGATGGGCATCTTGACAAGGTTGTTGGACGACGCCATGACTATGGAGTTGAGGGCCGAGAACTCTGTGCAGATCTGAGAATCGTCTACAGACCAGAAGCGGTGAAACGATAGGCATTTCTCGTAAAAGGCGCAAGCGGCCACCATCTCGTTCCATGACTGGTTGCCGACGCAATGGTCGATGCGGGCCAAGGGCACGTCAGGGAGGGAGACGGTGGCTGTTGCGGGTTTGGCGGCGCGGAAGCCCGGGAGGAAGGGCCCACGGTAGCTGCCGCGGCTAATGAGAGTGTGAGTAGTGTCGCCGTAAGTGCGGATGACGGCCGTCAAGACATCGCCGTACTCCTTGTCTTTGGAGACGCTGGGCGGCTGGACGGCGACAGCGCCCCCCTGAACGGCATTAGCGTAGACAGCCTCAACATTGTCGACCTCGAAGGCGACGTCCTTGACGGCGTCGCCGTGCTTCTCGAGGTGGGCGTGAATCTCGCGCAGGAGCTCTCGCTCCGCGTCAGAGATGGGCTCGTCCTCAGACAGGTGGGCAAGGGAGCGCACGGGAGAGGTGAAGACGAAGCGCACGCCCTTGTTGGCGACGACGTACGAGGCGAGGTACCTGCTGCCCGTCTCGAGGCCCTTGTACGCGATGGTTTGGAAGCCGAATAGGGTGGTGTAGTAGGCGGCGGCCTGCTTGGCGTTGCCCACCCACCAGGTTACGTGGTCATAGCCCTGGAAGTTGGGCGGCGGGTGCTGCACCGCGAGCCCATCACCGAGATCTGTTGATGCCGGGTACGCGGCGTTTTGTGGCGGGGAGTCTGTAACGGCAGATGGGGACATTGACACTCAGCAGTTTTTGGGGAATAGCAGGGATAAGTCTCTTGGGCTTTGGATGAGTTGAGTGGTCTGGGTCAGGGTTGGGTGATGATCGTGAAAAAAGAGATCAACGGCCAAGGAGGGAACCATCCGTGTTATGTACTGCGTACTGTCCAGGATATAAGTACTTGGACACCTACACAATACACCACAGATGAGCCTTGGTCAACGATGGACGTCCACAAGGACAACAGCAATCTTCGTCTCACGCCCGCACGTTGACGGTCCCAATCGCCGCATCAGACGCTTGTCACTGGCCATAAGGCCGGGCGGGGTCGCCTCTGCCCTTAACGGGCGGCCAATCCTGGAACGCTCTTCGATCCCTGGCAGGAATACCCGGGAAAGGAGAGGTTGGCAGCGGTAAAGCGTAAAGCTGGCGTCGTATGGAAATGCGTTCGCAAGCGGAAAGCCGCCGGCCGAGGATCGATGGCCGTGGTGAGCCGTGATAAGCCGTCGCTGGCCGGTCCAGATGCGGCACGGCTTTGACGGTCCCCCCACACATGCTTCGGATCCTCCAGGCTATGCCCGCCACCCAGCGCAGCAGCCTCCCTCACCTAACCTCGTATGCAAAGAACCCGAGGGCACTGGCGGCGGCCTAGCCGCTGTTTCCGTTGGTTTCGCGGTATGTAATACATACATAGTACGTCTGGGATATACCCATGGGTGGGTACCCTCCATCACCGCATGCCTTATCACCTCTCCTACACCATGAAACCCCTTCATAGCCATTGAGTGCGGAATGTAAAGCGCAGCTCGGCTCCCCCATCTGCGTCCGCACAAATAGTGTTGCATTAGATGAGTCGTTGCATGCGAGGGGACCCAACACTGCTTTTCCATTGTATTGATCGGCCCCAGTCCTCGGATAAACGTGCAAATATTCGATCGTCACACATCGAAGCAGGTTCAAGTCGAGTCTATTGCCAGAGACATTAGCATTCTTTCCAAAGCGTCGAGTCTTCAACTAATACTGCAACATGGCTTCCACAGGCCTGACCACACGCGATGTCAATGTACTGGAAAAGATTAAGGACCCTGAATACGATCCTTCGACCAACGTCATGCTCGACCCATCCCTTCCCCGCGACCCTAACATCACCGACACGTATATCTATGAACGTGTCATCCAGAAGGAACGCGAAATTGTTCTGTCCATGCAGCAGCTCGAACTCCAGTTGGCGGGATTGAGACCCAAAACTGTGACCGATCCTGTGCAGGAGTACAAGAACCTCCTCTCGCAGCTTAACAGCTTCATTGACGAATACCCAAACTACGCCAGTGCGAGAAACAACCGCGTACAGGCCTTGAGACGCCTATATGGTGACACAATGCTGTTGGCAGGATCGCCGACTGCGTCTCAACGACTCATCGAAAACTACGAGCCAGCTGAATCAATACAGTATGCTAAGATGGCGCTAGAAGATACCGAAAGGTCAATTGCCCTCCTTACGCCACGCACCATGTTTGGTGCCATGTCGCCGCAGGCCGCCAAGACACTTTCTCTCGCATACACCCAGCGGGCCGCCATCTACTACACGACGGCCAAGCTGATGGACACGCACGCGGTGCAGGTTGACGAAGCCCGACGCGAGGCGAGATGGACTAAGCTCGAGTTCGAGGAGGCGGCCTCGCACGACTTTGCCTGTGGCGGGAGGTTTGGTAACGAGATTGCCAAGGGGCTGGCGGTGAGCACGAATCCGACGGCGAAGTTGTGCGGGCAGATGGTTCGCGAGGCAATGAAGAAGGAGTACGGGGCATCGTATGCGGAGTGATGTAGATATTGTATATGGTGGCCTGCAATCATCTTGTGATCGCGCGGCGCGAATGTGCGCCCATCGACGGCGGTTACGTATACACCTATGCAGTAGCCTTGACCAACCCAAGACGTCTAGGCAGACGGAAATCAACAGAGATATTCATCATGGGTGCGACCCAGCGGTCAACCATACCTCTTAGCCGCCGCAATGGTCTGCTGCGTGGTCTTGCCCTTCTCCTTCTCCTCACGGTTAATCCTTGTGGCAGCAGCGCCGAGCCCAATTACTAAGGCGAAGATAGGGTCGGCGACCTTGGAGATGATGTAGGCGGGAGGAGCAGCCATGATGCGCGGTAGTATTGTCGATTAGAAGAGTCTGTTAGACGGATTTGCGGACGCGTCCACGTTGTCGAGAGGAACCGGGGGCAGAATGCGACAAAGGCCGACTAGACCTGTGGAACCATATGTGGGCGACCGGCAAGAGCTATGGGCTTCAGCCTACTGAAAGGGCGTGCAGGCTCATTGATCCCCCAAATATGTGAAGCGACCAACCAAGGGGCCTGAGTGGACAGTGGGGTCGGTCACCTACCCACAAAAAACGTGACCGCACACCTCGCGCTTTCCAGAAAACTTCAGCCCTCCCTCCCACACAAACTAGAAAATTCCTATAGCGGACTTTTTCGACGCAACTTCATCATCAGCACGCCCAGCATCCCCCCCCGACAGCGCAGGTCAAAATGAAGTTCCTCAAGGTCGGCCGCGTCGCCATCATCACCCACGGCCGCTACGCCGGTAAGAAGGTACGAATGCCACGAGAACCCCGAGAAGCCCACCCGCGCGCCCAACAGTTTCCTCCGAGGAGGGGCGGGGAATATCCTCAACGTCGATGCCGAGAAACGTGTTTTTTTTGTTCGTTCGGTCAGGGAATCAACATAGAGGTGTTCGACGGGACGACCTCGATATACATGGCGGAAAGGGAAGAGGAGGAAGAATGACCGACCGACCAAACACAGCCGGAGCGCGACGTTGAGATACCCACGAGCCCTCTGAGAAGGGGAAACCTGATGGATGCGGACGGTGTACACTTAGGACTATGAACCATCCATGCTAACGCCCCCCATCAGGTCGTCATCATCCAGCCTGTTGACTCCGGTAACAAGGCCCACCCCTTCGGCCATGCCCTCGTCGCCGGCATCGAACGCTACCCCTCCAAGATCACTCGACGAATGTCGAAGACGAGACAGGAGAAGCGCAACAAGATCAAGCCCTTTGTCAAGCTGGTCAACTACAACCATCTGATGCCCACCCGCTACACTTTGGAGCTCGAAGGTCTCAAGGGCGTCGTCAGCAACGACACCTTCAAGGAGGTCACCCAGCGTGAGGACGCCAAGAAGACGGTGAAGAAGGTTCTGGAGGAGCGTTACACGAGCGGCAAGAACCGGTGGTTCTTCACGCCTCTGAGTATGTCACTCCTGCCACTATCAAGCCAAACGGACTACTAACCGGTGATAGGATTTTAAAGGGAAACCGTTTCTGCAATCGTCAACAGGTCGGGGAGTTGGGCTGGCTTGTACAGAGCATCAATTGGCATTCGAGGTCCTCGGTTTAAGGACTCCCAATGAAACACCATGGAAAAATCCAAGTCGTTTGCGCCCTGTGATACCTCGACAATGGTCAATGCCGCCGCCGATGCTGCTGCTGCTGTGATACTGGAGAACGAGAGTGATAGAGAAAAGTAAAAAAAAGGGTCAAGGGTCTATGATGACTGATGGGTATGATTCAGCCCTCGGCCGTGGGATGGCCATGATCAATGGAACATGAAATAAGCAAGTCAAAAAGCCAACTTCCCAACCAATGTCTTTTGTGCTTGATGCTCGTGTGTCCGTGTCCCCTTGCCGGTCGGGCAGTGCAATCGGACGGCATCCGATCCGTCAACATTGTATTTAACGCGTGCGGGGGCTGAGATGCTCCTTCAAAATGATGGAACATAGTCTGCACAACCCTTGATTTCAAGCCGGGCTTGAACTGCCAACGCACCCCCTCTTCCTTGACGGTATTGCCATGCATGCATTCAGTAACCCGTCTGCCGACTTGCCAGACGGCTTCAACACGAAATCTTATGCTCCTACTAAAGGATTCAAAATCTATGTAGAATCGGTTAAGGCTTAGTAAACTGCTGTTTCAAACAATGTGTATTGCATGCTTGGACACCTAGATCCGTTTCGTGAAAATATTCGGGGCATCAGCCCCACTGCATCTCTACCCTTGATAAACGCAAAACATTCATGCCACGTAGTCAACACATTTGCTTAATTTATATCATTGCGTACATACATGTCTATATCCTCCCGCCATCTAGAGTACATCGAATCAGAATTTCATGATGCAAGCCATGCAACCTGTACCCTTTTGCGCTCTGCGCCGTTGCTCTATAGCTGTACATGGGTAACTCACCCGCCCAAAATGAAATGGCTTCAGTGTCCGGAGTAAGACAAAAAAGAAAACAATGAGAACAGGGTCAATCGGCACACAGTTCGAAATGAAGCTCGTAATATGTACTCAGAACAAGGTAATCGTTGCGGAGAGAGTTGGTATCATCACATCTCTACGCTTACAAGTGGGAAACGACAGGTTAAGAAGAAAAAAAAGGTTGTCGCCGTCTATCCTGTAACCTATGCCCTGCTGCTGCCAAAGCGGCTGTTGACCTCATTGATGAGGTTGTGAGGGTCATACTCGGGAGCGTACGTCGGCGCCAGACCACCAAGCATGGCAAAGAGGACGAACGCCGAGAGCACGATGATGCTGAGCTTACGGAGGATGGGCTTGCGCTGGCCAAAGTCAGCCCATTGGCGGCCAGCCTCACCCATGTAGCCCTTAATCTGCTCGAAGCCGAGCTTGTAGTAGACCATACCGCCGAGGGCGATGCTGTAGCCAAAGAACTGAAGACCAGACACCTGGGTGCCCCAAATCATCATGGAGGCGACGACCAACATGACGTCCTTGAGAACACCGCAAAGGGTCAGGACAAGCGAAGAGGTCTTGCCAATCTGCACAATCGGTTAGCATTGTTGGGCCGATTCCGGGAACACGAAAACGAACCAGGAAGACAACGGAAACGTTGAGCAGGAAGGCGCAAAGGCCGTTTAGGAAGAATGTGAACAAGCCGACGTTGTACACCTGATCCATGGTAACCTTGGGAATTTCCCAGATCAAAGCGACAGCCAGATTCATGACAGCGCAAATGGGGGCGAAGTAGTAGACTGAGACGAGGGGGTCCATCTTGTAGTCGGCAGAGCTGAGCAGGCGCTGGACCATGGTGAGACGCAGGGCTTCAAAAATGACACCGCCAATCTGGTAGATGACACCGATCCAGACGAACTTGATCTCGCCAATCGACGCAATGATGACACCAACAACGATGACAGAGACGTTCAGGAAGACCTTGAGGTTGGGCTGGGAGACGCCCAGAGCCCACCCTGACAGGAGAACAGCGACCGGGGTGGTGGCCTGGTGCGGTTAGTTATATTGTTTGAGTAGCGGAGACGAGCGATTCCTACCTTGAGCATCTGGATGAAGGCAACGGACAGGTACAGATAGGTGAGGTTGCCGCAGATCAAACTCAAGCTGAAGAAAATGCCGATAGGAACAATGGCCCGTACGTATACGCGGCCAGTCATTTTGACCGACTTGCGTCCGTCGAGAACGTGGGTCCAGCGAGCGAGGATCTGGGTCATGATGGTAGCAAAGGTCAAGTGATAGGTCGTCAAAATGACCGGGTAGCCTTTAGTCAGTTAGCATCGTATTCCAACTCGTATTGTTCGATCGGCTTACGGAAGTTGAGGGTGTCGAGGATCCATTTGTTGAACAGAATGACCGAGGAGGACAGGGAGATCCAGACACTGAAAGGCGTTAACAGAAGTCGCAGAGACGGAGCCCAAATAGTTCTTACATGACGTAGAGTGCAGGATGAATCTGGGACTTGGCAGGCTGGCTCTTCTCGGCGTCCGGGTTCGTGGTGGGCAGGATAGAACCGTTCTCGCCGCGGGGGACCTCGCCCGAGACACGCGTCTTCTCGTCGGCACCCATTGTGATTAAATGTGATGGAAGCAAAAGGGGAGAGAGGGGTGAGGTGCCGGGAGATTGAATTGCTCAGGTGGCAGTGGGGGGTTGGTGATGATGCGGGAGCAAGTTGATGGACAGCTCTCAGTGTCGACGGGGAAAAAAGACGGGACGCGTAAAAAGAGAGCGAGCGAGCGGACGGGACGACCAAGCACTGGTTAAAGGTGTCGTGGGGTAGGCGACATGTACTTTAACAATATGCAAATCGGGGGTCCCAGGGGTAAAATGTTAACAGACACCTCTGGTTGAGCCGGTTCAAACCTTGGTAGGGGCTGCGCACGGCTTATGGGGGTTTGTAACTCGTCCAGAAGGAGAATGCAAAAATGAAGAGGAGAGCCGAAGGGATGGGCAACGACGTCGGCGACACTGCGGGAAAGAGTTTAATAGAGGTTTGAAGAGGACAGAGGACAGAGGTGGTTGGGGTGTGGGAAGGGGAAAAGAAGAGGGAGAAAAAAGTAGGAAGGGGGGTGCGGGCCTAGGCGACGTTGTAGTGCAGAAAGATATGGTCCCAGTAATTAGCAGACGGGATAAAAAATTGAATGGATAAAAACCAGGAATCTTCTGGCGGGTTTCCCCCTTACTCTTCTTTCGTCCACCCCCTTCCCTTACGGTTTCCCCTACCCTCTGTCTCCTTGTTCCTGCGCTCTTGTTCTGGAAATTGAGGTTCACGTTGACGCGATCAAGCCCGCCCAATCCAGGATGTGGCAGGCTATGTACAGTCACGGATACTTGGTGGGGTGGAGCCGGGTACCCGCCAGCAGGTGTTAGCACCTTGGCCAAAGCGCAGCCCGCATGTATCGGGTACAGGGTGTCCACTTGACGTTATTGTCCAGTCACCGGTGCCGGTGTTGAGAGGTGTATGCTTGCTTGGAGGGAGAGGTACGCCACCCTCTCTCAGGGGCTCCGATGGGACTAATATTAGTGCTAAAAAAGGGCCGCAAATCAAGCTCTGCCCGTTCACCCACGTTCTGATCCTTGGCATTTCACCACCTCTTCAATTAAGGCACCTAGCCTGTCTGGATGACACAGATACATTCATTGGTAGCTGGTGCGGAAATGACACTTCTGCCGTGAATACAACAGATACCTAAGGTTAAGACTCTAAAGTATCCGTACCTTTAAGGTATATACAATTACTTAGACCCCAGTGCCAGACAATGAATGCACTACATAGTAAGAGAAGGAAGGTAGCGTATGGCCAGCCAAGCATGCATGGTAAATAGTGTATGTTGGTGATCTATCTACCCCAGCCTGACTTTATCCCTCACTCCCTTGCGCCTCGACCCGAGTTTCTTCCCGGTGGTGGTAGCCTTGTTAGTTTCCTCGATGAAGAGAGCTGGGCAGTTTCTCCAAGAGGGGGAAGCGAACGGAGCCGCCATTCCACCCCGTTGTCCAAGCCCCCTCCCTCCCAGAGCTTCGCCTCAGTCTCACATTCCAGGCCTTGACTATACAGATGCAGCTAAGATGGTTCTCGGCCATACGTCTCGCCAAGGCCGAAATCACAGAATATCATTGATATCGCGATATCTAAAAGCATGCCCCCCTGCCCTGTGACGGGGCAGCCTCTTCCAGACCGATTGGCCGGTCTTCCCATAGGTACCGTGCTAGGTATGCCCCCGTGGCCGCTTAATGTAAATGGCATAATGTAGGCACTAACCAGCAATCGTCAAGTTCAAAATACGCTAGAAGGAGAGCATCGAAGAAAAGAAACACTACATACCTTGAGGCTTGCGCACCGGCTCCCGTAACCTGCAGCAACACCTTTAAACCATCACTATCTATGGAGCTGCTCCCTATAAACCCGGGGACAGCGTCCTCGGCTGCAAACAACCCCAGACCCGTGATTGCTGTGCTACATATGTACTGTAGTTAGAGACCTCGATCGCGTGGGTGCGAAAGACGGCTCCGCCGTATAGCGTATGCAATCTTGGATCTCGAGCTCGACCAACCCTCGAGCTGCGGCCGGTCCTTTGGCAAGGTACCTATCTTGTTACCTGTACCTCCATCTGTTTCCTCCTCAAGACCTGCCCTCGAGCTGATTACAGCTTCGTCCTATACGTCGCCAGTCGAGTCAGACCCCGTTGTTGGCCGCCCTGACGACGACTAATGGCAAGCAAAATCTTGTCGTTGCCCCACTCGCCTGCACGGTTCGAAGCCGTCGCGACTTGAACCGAATCGTCAATCTGTTGTGGGAATCTGGGGTGGAAGGTGCTCTTTGCCGCCTCCCCTAAGGAAACAGTAAGCTGCATGCCGAGATGCGCTTTCGAGATGACGGATCGTGGGCGCGCAGGCCGCTTGATTGCTGTCCTCGGGAGGTTGAACTTTGAAGCCTACCTGCCCCGTACCTCTTTCACCCTCATTCTCGGGGCCACGAAGAATTCGTTCGAACTTCCACGTCCGACCAGGTCTCACTTCAGCCTTACTCATACCGGGCCTTGCGTGGCTGCCACATTTGCCGTACCAAGCCATCCCTCCATACCACCACCCCAAACTTACGGCGGGTGTTGCATGTATTGGGAACACCGAAGCCGTTTGCCGTCACTGGTCGTCTGTCTCCCGCAGTCGCTGGCATGCTTTATCAGGCTTCGGGTGTACCTGCATGCAAATGAATGCGTGTGCTGTGCAGTACCGGGTGCGCCACGCACAGGTCAGCGAGGTTAGGGACGAGGAGAGATATTAGATCTACTGGCCCGCGTCTTGCAGGTCGGCTACATTGCCTAGGTAGCTTGGATAATGTTAGTCGCTCACCCGCTGACTAGTTGTCCACAGTGCCGCATGTTGCCGTCCACCCTGTACCCGCGGCCTGGTTGCGTATGATACTAACAAGTACTGGCCAGGCGACAACGATAAGCATTCTGTCAGTGAACGGTTCCTGTTCGGCTGGCGGTGCTGTTATTAGAAACCCAGTGTTTGAGTGCTCCATGAATCAATGACTGGCCACATCAAGGTTCATGCGGTGCCTCGAAACTGACCCGGCCGATCTACAAGACACCCAGGTTGTCTGTTTCAGAGTGCTGATGAGATGGGGCCCGAACCCCTGCGCCGGCTGCTGGGAAGGCCCTCGAGCATGCTATTCGATACTGTCAGTGGAGGGGACACGCTCGGAAGCGCGCCTACGGATGTGCTTCCAATAAAGGGACTAGAGAGAGACCAGCGGACCGATGGTACATTGATGATCGACTTTTACAGCCTCATTTGCTGCTCCGCAGATGAGAGGCAGGGGCAATCCCATATTGGGATAGAAACGTCCATCGCTCACAAGTCAAGCTGACCGAGACCCAGAAAGGCGTCTGATCGCGACAACTACCGGCGGACCGATATTACTTTGGGCTGCTTCATCATCAATCTGACTGACGCGGACCCAGCGGTGACAACAATGAACCGGGATAACGAGCAATGGGGATGTATTCCAGATTGCCAGATGTTCAAATGTGGCACCTCGCCCGAGTGCCGTCTCTCCCTTGCGCCATGGTCCTCTCATCACGACAAGCTCGTCGCCGTGGGGGTCACGGGCGAGTAGAAGAATAAGAAAGGTCGCCTTCAATTTCTCGAGCGGCGATCGCTAGATGGGAGGCGAGATGCAGACTACACTAGCTAGCACAAGGACAGTAGGTAGGTAACCAACGACATCCCTGTCTGCATGTTGATTGGCGACGCTCGAGGGTGATGATAATGAGCAGCTGGAACATGGGCTTTCGCAAACAAGCGATTGGAGCTCCGTCCCGCGGGTAGAGACGACGGGACACCGAATCACAACTCCGCTCGCGTCTTTTTCGGGCTCATCTGAGTGACGCCGAAGGCAGTTTGGGACGTGGCCAGAGTCCAAACTCGACGGATACCACGTTTCGGTTGTGTCGTCAGCGACTCAGGATTAACACGCACTCGACTCAGGAACAACGGTCTAGTCTCCAGTCGAAACAGTGGCAAGGCCGAGTCGAAATGCACGAGGTACGGCCTCATTACCATCAAAATGAGAGCCAAAAAGTTTGCTTGAATGACGGATTATGGCGAGCTGCAGCGTGCCAATGGAGGTGGGATTGCCCTCATCTTATGAGATTACACCGGGCAGGGTTCCGTTATCTAGAGCATCACAGCTCATACTGGGTCTGTAGGCTTGATGGCGGTTGCCCAGAACCCATGTCACCAAGAACGCTCTAGAGCACGCGAAACAAACAGAAACTCGTTCTGGCTCATGCCCGATAGCTAAAACGAGTACGTCCTGCTCTGGTCTTCCACTAAGATCGATAATGTGATAATGGCACGGACGCACACATCAACAATGCAATGACAGGCCGAGTCTGGGTACCTCTGACGGATAGGAGCTGCCCGACTAGGAAATGGAGGCAAAATAACGTGTGAGTGCAGATTGTCGGTGGGTTTGATTCGAGTTATGAGGAAATACTAGCGCAAGCCACACCAAGCCCATTTCTGGGTAGCGGCCAGATTGGCACACCAGGGTCCGGAACGACCAAAGGCGCCGCTCACTGCCGGCTGTCAAAGGCGCCGGGTCAAGACGACGCAAAGACGGTAAAGCCAACGTCTTCGACCTCTCCCAGGAGAGCACATCTGGGTCCGAATACAGTCGTGAGCTTCAGAAGCCAGCAGGATCTGTGTGTCCGGGATAGGGCGAAGAGTGGTAGCGAGCAGTGAGCAGTACCAGCAGCCTCCAACGCACGAGGTGAATTGGCCACTCGAAGGGCGTGGTTTGGCGGCAAGGCAAGGGACCTTGCAGAAGCCGCGTCGATTCGCTCTGTGCACGCAGGATTAGTCAAGACGATGTATCCTTGACAGAAGGCGGTCAGCGAGCATGTATTGTCTTGGCGGTCTGTTACCATCAGGGTCGGATCGAAGTGGTGGTGCACCGTCCAGACAGTGTAGATTTGAGATTCATCATCCAGAATAAGGAACCGCGGTGAGGGCGCTTCCGGCCGTCTTGTTAACCTCTCGAGATTGAGTTGGAAAGCTTGTGGCCTCTTCCCTGTGCCCGTCTGTTGTCTTATATTACGACGGACGATCCGCATGTCTGTGAAAGTCAATCTAAAAGTGCCTAAGGTAGCAAACGTGTATGTACACCAAACCACTTAGCAGGCGTCTGCCCTGGTGACGATGGCAGGTCTGCCTTCATGATGGGTTTGTGGAATGCGGACGGTGGGTCTTGAAGTACTGTTTCTCAAAGCATCCGGTACCCTTACTAGTGCAGTGAACTGGGACCGGTTGGCGGGCGGGTGTGCGGGTGCGGGTGCGTGCGTAGTTGACGAGGACCTTGTCTTATCACATACACTAGAGAGAGAGAAGAAGAAACCCGGCATGTAGGGAACGTGTCCTCGAGTGCTTGGGCACTCGGGGTAGTGAAGTCGAACTGGATTACCTCCCACAGCCCTTTCTCCAGTTCCCAGTTTCCAGACAGCACGAAAAAAGACATGTGGATGAACGGACACCAACAGGCCAGGCCCAACCCAGAGCGGAGGATGTCCATATCTCCTTCATCCCGCATCGGACCCCACAACCCTCTCCTCAGATCATCTCATCCACGTACGCACTCACCACCACTAATGCCTCACTGTAGTGTAATGGTTCAGCTGAGTTGACCCAGCCGGCGTCGTCGTGTGTCTTACTTCCAGCTTCCCTTGCCTCTATGCTCCGGTCTCACAAAGCTGGCATTTGGCAGAACCAATCACGAACTCGGTCTGGATTCTGTAACCAACCGTGGGTGCAGGACTTTTTGCCTGGCCGCTGCTGGAGACCTGAAATCTGGTCGTTTCTGGCTCTGTGTTGCGGACAAGCTTCCGGCACTCCACCATTGTGGCTGTGACATTGACATCCATTGTCCCCTCCTGCAGTAACTTGTACATACACGTGGTTTATCACTGTATGTATAGCTGCATCCCTCTTTTGCCCAGGGTGAGGGGTGGGCAAACAAGCAGGCTGGCTTGCAGGACACAAGGGACCGGCAGTAGGTTTGCGGTTCGCTGCCATCCAGAGAGCCAGGGATGAGCGACTAATCATCGAGCAAACTGTTTCTCGGTAGGAAGTGCCGTCAGAGGGTGCAACACAAGGAAAAGCGCTTCTGCTACTACGTACGTATGTCACAAAATCCCGTGTCTTGCGCGCGCCAAAGCCATAAACCTCGACGTAAGGGACGTTGAAGGCTACTCATGGCTGTCTCGCCCGTATCTCGGATAAAGGTCTTGGATGAGGCAAAAGTAACCCGCAGTAGCAGACGGCCAGCCAGAGAGTCGACGCCACCACCCCTGCCCCCACTGAGGTACGTATCCAAATGCCCTCATGTTGTGCGATATCGCAAATTGTGGGACATGTCTTAGCGGCACGGAGCTACACTACCTAAGGTACCCGGGATTTGGCACTAAGAGCCGAGATACGTACCTGCAGCAGGAAGGGTGGGCTCTCATGGCCGCCGTCGACCAGGGCCCCGCCAAACCCCTTGTCCCAAATAATAATTTGGCCCCTCCATCACAGTTGCGGTGCAGGAAGGATGGAAGACCAAGTAAGAGTAAGAGAAGCAGCAGCCGCAGTACCAACAGCATCAGCACAACAGACCTACGGTACCTAGTCTGCCAGTCAGTGTCTGTCCCCTTTTTCTTTGGAACCCGTCGAAACCAGAAACCCATATCTACAGCAACGGCCACTGCATCCACGCAGCTCTCCCCTCCTCCTTCCTCTCTTTGCTGCCAAACACCCCTCCGCTCTCTTTCCTGGTTCAAATTCTTGCTTCACCATCTTGCGATCTCTTCCCCCAAGAGACGCTGTCTTTCCTGTCTAGTTCTGGACCTTGTGTCATCTTCGCATTTTCCACGCAGACCCCATACGTCCCCCATCATGGCTGACATGTGAGTATCTTTCCCGCCCGCCGCAATTGCACTCATTCCGCGGCAGCTATTTCGTCTCTGCCTGGCATTCCAGTTGTAGTTGTCGTTGAAAAAAAGAACCCCAACTGACTCCTTCTCCCAGTAACGTCGATGTTTTGGTCATCGGCGCTGGCCCGACCGGTCTTGGTGCTGCGAAGCGCTTGAATCAGATTGTGCGTCCACACCGCCACATTTTGGCCACTCTGGAACCCCCTAACATCCAATGCTAATTGCCACCATAGAACGGTCCTTCATGGTTGCTTGTCGACTCGGCCGAGAAGGCCGGTGGTCTTGCCGGCACTGACACTACCCCCGAGGGCTTCGTAAGTCTAGTCTTTGCCTTGCTACGTTTAACCGACCGTTCCTAACAAGACTGGAAACCAGCTCTACGATGTCGGTGGCCACGTCATCTTTTCCCACTACAAGTACTTCGACGACTGCATCGAGGAGGCACTCCCCAAGGAGGATGACTGGTTCACGCACCAGCGCATCTCCTACGTTCGCTACAAGGGCCTCTGGGTTCCCTACCCCTTCCAGAACAACATCTCCATGTTGCCTAAGGAGGACCAGGTCAGGTGCATGAACGGCCTCATCGACGCCGCCCTTGAGTGCCGTGTCGCCAACACCAAGCCCAAGGACTTTGATGAATGGATCCTTCGCAACTGCGGTGAGGGTGTCGCTGACATCTTCATGCGTCCCTACAACTACAAGGTCTGGGCTGTCCCCACGACAAAGGTAAGCAGTCCCACACTACTCGCCCGGCCGCGAGAGCTAATCTCCTGCAGATGCAATGCCAGTGGCTCGGCGAGCGTGTGGCCGCCCCCAACCTGAAGCTCGTCACCGAGAACGTCGTTCTGAACAAGGTCGCTGGAAACTGGGGCCCCAACGCTACCTTCAAGTTTCCTGCCCGCGACGGAACCGGTGGTATTTGGATTGCCGTTGCCAACACCCTCCCCAAGGAGAAGACGCGTTACGGCCAGAAGGGTACTGTTGAGAAGGTTGATGCCGACAAGAAGATTGTTACTCTCGCCGACGGCACCACCGTCCAGTACGGCAAGCTCGTCTCGACAATGAATGTTGACCAGCTTGTTGAGCGCATGGGCAACCAGGAGCTTGTCAGCCTGTCCAAGGGCTTGTTCTACTCGTCGACCCACGTCATCGGAGTTGGCATCCGTGGTGAGCGCCCCGAGCGTATCGGCGACAAGTGCTGGCTGTACTTCCCCGAGGACAACTGCCCCTTCTACCGCGCCACCATCTTCTCCAACTACTCTCCCTACAACCAGCCCGAGGCTGGCAAGAAACTGCCCACGCTGTACCTGGCCAACGGCCAGAAGGCCGAGTCGACCGAGGCCAAGGAGGGACCTTACTGGTCCATCATGCTCGAGGTCTCCGAGTCCTCCATGAAGCCCGTTGAGCAGGAGAAGATCCTCGAGCAGTGCATCCAGGGTCTCATCAACACTGAGATGATCAAGCCCGAGGACGAGATCGTCTCCACCTACCACCGCCGTTTCAACCATGGCTACCCAACTCCCTCGCTCGAGAGAGAGGGTGTCCTTAAGGATCTCTTGCCCAAGCTTCTTGACCAGGGCATCTACTCTCGCGGCCGTTTCGGCAGCTGGAGATACGAGGTCGGCAACCAGGACCACTCGTTCATGCTCGGTGTCGAGGCTGTCGACAACATTGTCAACGGCGCCGTCGAGCTTACCCTCAACTACCCCGACTTCGTCAACAGCCGCAAGAATGAGGAGCGCCGCCTGGCACAGTCGTTCGCCTTTGGCGCCCTGCCCTCGCACAGCAAGTAAGCTTGTGGCGTGTAAGGAGGAAGGGAAAAGCGCATGGAATTTTTCGTCTTTTTGCTGTAAAGCATATAAGTATGAGCATGACCAATGGAAGAGGGAAGAAGGAAGCAAGCCCTGGGGAGTGAGAAGGGTGCTTTGGCTAAGCATACAAGAATACCTGGGAGTTCCGCGCTGTTGAATTGGGGGAAAATCACTTCGATGCGCCATACCCACGATGATGTTGAACAGTCGTGCGCAACTGTAGACGCGGGAGGCACGGGTCCTTCTAAAAGGGATACATATATAGAGTATACATGGGACGTTGGACTCTGCACAATGGTTCCAGAACGACGTTGACCGTGAGACCTGCATAAGTTAGGCCCGCGCATGCAGCAGCTGAGGGCGGCCGGGTAATTAACGATCGTCGCCAACAGACGCGGCTCGGTCACTAGCGTCCCGCCCAGTGTTACCGAATCTGTATGCTTGTTTCCCTGATAGGCCCTCGGTGGTTTTACCGTGAGCAAGCAACGAGGCTCAGGGTCTTAATGAGAGGTAACACTATTGCACTTCCCACAAGGTGATCGCTATTAGGGTCTTTGTGGGTACTTGATAACAATACGCCCAACGCTGGGCGCACGAGGTTGTAACCATTGGGCGAAAATAGGAAAGGCGGAAAAGGAAAACCCGACGTTCATTACATGGGTGTCTTCTCCTGCAAAACGCGGAATCAGACTGAGGTTCTTGGATGGTGGTGGCGCAGGCCCAAAACAGACAAAGCACGAATGACATCATTCTCACTGGTCGCAAATTGCTAACGAAAGTATAAATCGTTTACCAGAGAATTGGGAGCAGGTCTACCGCGACTCAGGTTCTCAGCGATCGTGAAGGGATGATACGGAGGCATCCATCTTGTACAGTAAGGTGTCGCAAGTCTGAGATCACCTCACAGTGCACTATATTAAATCTACTAACTTACTACCTTAATAATACCTAATAACTTACTACCCTAGGGAAAAAACTAGTTATTTTACTTATAAGATATATTTATAACTATCTCTTATAACTATATATTATTTTACTTTATTATTTAAATACTAAGTTTTTAAGTTATAGTAGATTAAGAAAGAAGTCTTATAAAGATAGTTTTAGCTCCTAGTAAATATAGTACTAACTATACTATATTCCTACTATAGTCTACTATAACTAATACTTCTTTCAAGACTATTACTTAATTATTAATTTACTTTAGATCTAAGCCCTTAAAACTATAAGTATATTAGTAAGCATGTACTTAAAATACTTAAACTACTTATATATAGTTTTATATTTACTTTTAGATATATAGAGCTTTAGCTATATAGTATAAGAATATAGTGCTTAAGGTGTATACTGTGTAATTGATCTTAGACTCATGACCTGACACTGTATTCCTTCAGACTTCCGTTGTCTTGGGAAGCCAGAACGGGGAGTTCCAGAACTGGGAAGAAGTCGAGGGGAAGCAGGGGTTGTCGGAGGAAATGAGTCGCGGATCGTTGGGGGTTACTGTTTGGTACCTATGTAGCTAAGTACCTACTACGTAGGTAGGAACCAGAGCCGGTACAGAGTCACTGGCGTTGACTGCTGTTTGGGCCAGGTCTCGTTCAATACTCGGAGCTACAACAAAAAATGTGGGAATGATGGCCAGGTATAGGTTGAGACAGGGGCGGTCGACAGTTCGACGGCCTCTTTTGCGAACCAGGACCTGATGTCCGGTCGAAGCAAAGAAGCTACGGGGAGAAACGGTAGAAACAGCCCGGATGGAAAAGGGAACAAAGGATGCGTATCAGCTTGCAACCACCAAGAAGAGGCGACAGTAAGAAAGTTTTGCAGTTCGGGTATCCACTTTTTCGCAGCAGCCCCAATGGCCGTGTGAGGAAGGGTGCTGGCAAGACGTTGGGAGTCCGTATCCGTACACAGATATCGCGTGAGTGGGCTAGGTGGGAAGAAGTCATTCCCACCTGTCACTGGTGCGGAGAGTTGATATGACGGACGGGTAACCATAGCCAGTTATGTGCCAACCCCTCCCATTGGGACGACTCACTACTGACGGCTAGCTAATGTCTACGATGGCCAAATTCGATCTACATACGTACGAGTTGGCCAATAAGAAATCGAGGTTGCTGGTCTGGTGCCTGACAATCATTGCCAACTGCAAACGGCTACCACTGTGCTGATGATGAATAGGTACCTAAACTACATGTTTGCGTGTCTGCTGGTGGAAGGCGTCAGAAGGAAAGGGAACGGCGATGACGGCTAGACTTGCTATCGAGGGTCAAGAGTCCCCAAATACATAGTACGTACCTGTAGATTTGTTTGCTTGCTCTCTTGCTGGTTTCCTCTCCATTACTGTGGCAAGGGCTTATAGTGGCAGTTGCCCTTCGTCCTCGGTACTTTTTGTTGATCAACATTTTTGGTGCTGATGAAGAATGCTTGATGTACGCTTTCTGCTCACAATATGTAACCCCATGCCGCGGAGTATATCTGAGCCATCATTTGACTAAGAGCCCTTGACAGAGATGGACGAGAGACGTCCGCCGGCGTGGGACTTGTTTGTGTTTAATAGCAACACCAAGGTTTTGCTGTTTGAACTGATGAGGGGGAGGCGTTTGACACTCTGTGCGCGCCCACCATGTGGAACGCGCTGAACCCGTCCCGGTCCTTCAAAGTGCTTCCCCCCTTCCATCCTGATGAGGTGTTTTCCATCTCCCGTTGTTAGACAGCTGGCCGAGAGTTAATCCAGGCACACCATCGTGCTTCAGTGCAACTCTGGACTTGACGGTCTTTCATGCCTTGGAAGAATAGCGCACGGCAGCGGAGAGGTTGCATTGCCTTGCGGTGTGTCGGTCTTGGGTTGGTTCAGCTTCCAAGGTGTACAAGCTGGGAAAGTTACTTGGTTCCTAGTACTCTGGTGTGCTGGGAGGAAGCCCTGTTCTTCTGGAAAAAACCAGTTACGTACTCCGCACTGTCCAGGGGTGCCTGCTCGCTGCTTCAGCCTGCCTCCGCCCACTATCTTCCCGCTATGTTGCCCTGTTGCTGAATGCCACCGCCGCCCAGAGGTAGGTACCCTTACCCATGCTGCGTCTCTCACTCGACTGATCAGTGGTTAAACATCAGCACTTCGACTTCCTGCTCGTCCTCCGACGACAGCTGCTCACTCGTTCCGTCCGTCGCCCGACGACACCTTCTCTGACGCATCGCCCCGTCGTGCCTTTTCCCTACCGAACTTTTTTTCTTCGAGGGCCCGTCACCGTTGTCCTCTGCATTCACCACAAGGCCAAGAATTAGTCCCTCAAACCTATTTCCGACCGCGCGCGCGCAGACTCGCTGTTGCGGGGCCCTGCATGCTCGATCAGAAAACACCACCAGCGAAACGAAGCCATACAATTCTTCGTTCAACCACCCCCGTTGTCATAACTCCACTACGCCTCGGAATTTTTATCAAAACATGACATGGGCGGTAGTGTCTCGGTGAACGTCACGACTTGACATTTGTCATTCTACCTCTCGCGACGACGACGACGACGACGACGACGACGACGACGACAACTCTACCGAAACCCGACTAAGCCCCAATCCCATTCATATTACCCCACCACCACCAACACCCATCCTCGTTCTCCAAGCTCCGGCTTGCGCCTATGACCGGCCCTGATGATGGACGGCGCTGCCATCGGGTCGGACGACCACTTCGACCCACCCTCGCGCTTGTTTGAGCGCCTTCGCCAGATCGCTGGCTACACCTGGGACGAGTCCCGGCTCCCCTTCCACACATCCTACGACATCTGGTGCGTCCCCTCTACGGCTGGCATAATAGCCTCAGTCAACCTGCTCTCTCCCTGACGCGATGTCTAACATGCGCTTCACAGGCACGTTTGCGGCACCAGATTCGTGTCGCCCTATCAGCCGTCTTCTTCGACTCACCATGCCTCGAGTCCCGGCTCGACCGCGAGGCTACAATCCGGCCGGCCGTCGCCCTCCGAACATGCGAGCTCCTCAAGCCTCCACTCGGGTATTCCCAGCGATGCCAGTAGTGACTTCTCGTCCACGTCGCCGCCGCCGCCGATCCCTTCCGGCGCTGCTGAGATATCATACATAGAGGAGCCCGTTGTGGCTCGTGTCTCATACCATGTGCTCCGGGAAGAAAGGGCGTTCCACATAGCTAAGAACCTCTTCGCCACGGCCGATCCCAATGGGCACCACATTGTCAAGCCTCTTGACCGCGTCCGCCTCGCCCCCCACTCAGGCGACCGCGGATCCATTGTTGTCGCCATCTATCAGCACCCCGGCCAGAACTATCTATTTGATCTCATGGATATGGGACCGGCATTCTACAAGGCCAGGAAGGTGGACGAGCGGTATGAGGCGTATCGCAAGACGAGCTTCCGTCTGAAGCCCCCGATAGACCTGCAGTACTTTCTCGACTTTGCCATCGGCGCAAGTCAGTGTCTTGAGATACTCCACTATGGGCAGGCGATGACGCATGGGGAGATTCGGCCGGACGCTTTTCACTTCAACATTGAAACAAACTCTGTCAAGTTGATCAATTTTGGCACCGGAACGAGGTCCTTTGAGGGCGGTCTGTCGAGTACGTCGTGGTCGAGCCTGTCTAAAGAGCTGGGCGCCAAGAACAAGCTTCTATACATCAGCCCGGAGCAGACAGGGCGTATGCCGGCGGAACCCGATAGCCGTACCGACATCTACTCGCTAGGAGTGGTGTTCTGGACCCTGCTCACACAGCAGCCTGTCTTTGAGGGGGAGACACCATTGGATATCGTACAGGGCGTTCTTGGACGGAGGATTCCCAACGTATCGCAAGTCCGGCTTGACATACCTGACGTTATAGGTCGCATCATCCAAAAATGCACCGCAAAGACCGTCGCAGATCGATACCACTCGGCTAGTGGTTTGAAGCACGACTTGCTCAAGGTGCAGCAGTTCCTGACCGATGGCGACTGGTTGGCGTTGAAGGAGTGGAAGATCGGAGAAAAGGACATATCGTCGTTTTTCATCCTCCCCAGCATGATGATTGGGCGGCAGAAGGAGAGAGCAGAAGTGATTAGAGTGATTGAGCGGGTTGCCAAGAGCCACTCCATGAATCAAAAGTCGACAAATAACCGCTTCTCAGATGGATCACAACTCTCGGTTGAGCTGCCTGACTGCGGTGACTTGTCGAGTGAAGGGGCCAGCTCTGCAGAGGGCACCACCCGCCGTAGCGGGTCTTTCACACATACTACATCCTCTGACCCTAGGCAGTCAAAGGCTAGCTTCGTGCCTTCCGTTCTGTCCGATACTCAGACGATATCAGGAGACACCATCGCCTCGTCCAATTCGGGGCCATTTGGGCGTATGACGAGGCCGTGGGACAGACAGTGGGAGAGGCATCATTCGGTGTCGATCGAGACGCGGAGCCTTGCCGACGGCATTGGCACGCCCACAGACAGCAATCGACTCAGCGCTGTTGAGTCAACATCCTCGAGCTTGTCTCGCCAGCTTGGTTCGGCCAAGTTTCGGAGACGTGGGCACTGCGAAATCGTTCTCGTGGAAGGGGCCGGTGGCCTTGGCAAGAGCTGCCTCTATCAGTCTGTACTTGCAGAGGCCAGGCGGAGAGGTTACTGCGCCACGGCCAAGTTCGACACGGCTCGCCGCACTGCTTTTGGGCCGCTGCTCAAGCTCTTGTCGTCTCTGTTTAAGCAGGTTTTTGGCGAGCGGAACACGGACACGCAATTCCACCAGGCACTGAAGCATTATGTTCGTCCCGTGTGGCCGACGCTCCACAAAGTCCTCGGGCTACCCGACTTTCTCCTCGGCGCCCTTGACAGCCCGGTTCCTAGATCCGTCTCCATCACACAAAGCGTGGCCCAGACCCGGAGCATCAGAGCCGGCCTCAAAAGGCGCGGCTCATCGCCAGGAAGCTCCCCTGGGCGCCTGACGAAGTCCACCGTTATATCGTCACAGGCATCCCAGGACTTTTTGCGAGCAGGTGGAACGACGAAGACGATGCGGTTGATGAATACCTTCCTTGATGTGCTACGCATGTTTACATCTCACAAGTTTATATGCTTCGTGCTAGATGACCTTCACTTTGCCGACGACGAGTCAATGGAGCTGATTAGTCAGATTATTGGGGCGCGGATGAAAATGGTCGTCATCATTACTTACAGGCCGGAAGAACTGTCTCCTGAGCGGGTACAGTCCATTATCCATCCCCCTGAATCCGAAGGTAAGTTCTCGGCCCTCGAGGGCAATGGCGCTGTATACTAACGATGTGCAGAGTTCCCTAGGTCAGGAGGCCCAGTGGTCACGCGCATTAAACTGAACCCCCTGGGCGAGGACGACATAATCCAATACGTTGCGACTACGTTATGCAGACCCAAAGAGGAGGTTCTTCCGTTGGCGATCGTTATTCAATCAAAAACAGCAGGCAATCCGTTTTATATGCGGGAGATGCTGAGTGCGTGTTATAGGAAAAGGTGCATATGGTACGACTACAGAGACAGCAACTGGCATTTCGACCTGGACAGGCTGTTCGAGCACTTCAAGGGTGCGAGCGACTACGATATACTCGACACCGGCTTCATCACCCGCAGGCTAAACGAGCTGCCGCCGGCATCCAGGGCAATTCTTGCCTGGGCTGCTCTGTTGGGGTCGTCATTTTCATTTGAGCTCATTTCACGACTTCTGAGCGGCGAATTCCAGTATGAAGATGAAGGTGAAGACGAGGCCAGCTGTCGAGGACCAGGCAACGAGCAATACCACGCATCCTATACCCAGCAGGAGGCAATCAACGGGTTACAAGCGGCTGTGCAGGCCTATATCATCGTACCGAGCGAGACAGACGACAGGTTCCGCTTTGCTCACGACCGATTCATTCAGGCGTCGGCAGCGCTGAAAGAGTGCAACGCGCGCAAGATGCATTTTGTAATTGCACAGACACTGTTGAAGTACTATTCGGCGGACCCCAAGGCGAAAGACAACACAGCCTCGCATATTTGCGAGTCTGTTGATATCATTAAGAAGCGCGTTGCCAAGCGCCGGTCATATCGTAAGCTACTGTTCGAGTGCGCTCAAGCGGCGGTCGAGAACTGCGCCCGTCCAACTGCCTCCAAGCTATACAGCACGGCGGCCGCACTCCTCCAACCGGACCCCTGGAATGACGAGCTTGAGGACGTCTCCTACGATGAGACTATGCAGTTGCACCTGAGAGCTGCCGAATGCTACCTCTACATGGGCAACCATGTAGCCGCCAACGCTCTGCTCGACAACATCTTGGAGTGCGCGCGCAGCCCCCTCGACAAGGCGCCAGCTTATGTTCTGCAGTCCAGAACCCTCGCGCAATGCGGCGACGCCAAAGGAGCCCTCGAGTCACTCAAGGAATGTCTACATGCTCTGGATGTGCAGTTCGACGATAATCCGACATTCGAGAAGTGTGACGACCAGTTCGAGAAGATGTCTGTCAAGATACAAACCATGGACAAAAATGAACTTCTGAATCCGCCCCAGTCGTTGGACCCAGCTCTGCCGTCTGTCGGCGCTGTCCTGGCAGAGACCGTTAGCGCCGCGTGGTGGAGCGACTACCTGCGCTTCTATCATCTATCTCTCGTCATGCTAGACCTACATCTCACCCATGGCGCCTTTCCGCAGTCCGGGATGGCGTTCCTCCATCTCGGCCTGATTGCCCTGGCTAGATTCAACATGGTCACCTTCGCCGTCGAGGTGGGCAACGTCTGCATCGAGTTGCTTGATCGCTATCGCGACCCCTTCTCCATGGCAAGGGGCTACATGTTGTATGCCAACTTTATCGGGCACGTCCAGGTCCCGGTGGCTGTGGCGCTGAGCCATCTGGAGGGTTCTGTCGACTACGCAGCAGCGGCCGGCGATAGAATTTCCTCGATCCTAAGCTTTGGACTGGCGGCGCAGCTCAAGTTCTTTGCCAGCGAAAACTGCTCCGACTTGGAGGCATTCTGCCAGTACGGCTGCGAAGAGATCCCTAATTGGCATCGAGACACGCGGGGTGGCACCCTTCTCATCTCGATTCGACAGGCGTGTCGTGCCCTGCAGGGGAAGACTCGAACCACAGAGCCCCTAGAGGTCATGACTGACGAGCAGCACAACTCAGCCAACTACAAGTCGTGGCTAGGGGCCAACACGCAGAACGGCAACCGGTCGATTCTCTGGTACGAGAGCATCGAGATTGTGCCACTATTCATCTACGGGCATTACGACCGAGCCATCGAGATCGGCCAGGCGTGCTTCGAGACCATCCAAAACCTGTGGTCCGCTCGCAACAGCAGGCTGGTCATGTTTTTCTACGGTCTTGCGCTCGCGGGAAGCATGCTCCGCAAGCTCAACGATCCCCGACTGGACCCCAACAGTCTGACCAACGAAACCGAGACTACTCTGCACAAGCTCCGCGAGCTGACCAAGAGAATCAAGGAGTGGGAGGTTTATACCGAGGTCAACTACATGTCATGGTCCAAAATACTTGAGGCCCAGATCGCTGAGTTGACGGACGATTACGGCGGCGCCATTAAGCTGTACGAAGAGGCTCTGGACAACGCCGAGGAGCACAACTACCTGTTTGAGGCGGCGGTGGGCAATACGCTGATGGCTGGCACGCTCGTCAGACGCAAGGCCCGACGACTGGCCCGCTCTGCGTTCCGGGATGCCATTTCTTTCTACCGTCAGTTCGGAGCTGTCGCCGTCGCTGAACGCCTCGAAGAGGAGCACGCTGTCCTACTTCACAGTCCCACAAGAAACCCCAGGACAACGGACGCCGCCGTGCAGACGGACTTTGCCGGTGACAGTGGTACAGTCGATTACCGCGCCGTAGAGGGCGAAGAAGGCCCAGAGGGACTCCAGCAGTCCAACCACACCGCCATCGCCGACATCAAGGGCGAGCGGATTGGTGCATGGCGCGGTTCAATGCACGAACAGAACGAACTCGGGGCAGGTTTACCTGCACTTGATATGATTGATCTGCATGCGATTCTGCTCTCCTCCCAGGTAATCTCTGGCGTCCTCCGGGTCGATGAACTGCTCAAGACTATGTGCGACGTCATCCTGCAGACCTGCGGCGGCTCGGCTACACTCGCCGCCATCGTCGTTCAGGACTCGGACGAGTCTGGCTGGTGTCTTGCAGCTAGTGGCGACCCGGAAAGGGGCGCGTCGGCGCATATTCCAGGCGTGCCCCTGGCAGGCACATCACTTGTCGCTGAAAACGTCATCCTCTACTGCACCCGTTTTCGAGAGGCAGTGTTCATCCCCGACATTATCAGTGACGAGCGGTTTGGGAACGTGAGCGAGGCCTGGCTGCAGCGGAACGTCCTCAGCAAGGCCATCATCGCGATTCCCATTTGCCACGGCTCCAAGCCGCTCCTCGGTGTCTTGTACCTCGAGGGCGAGCCGGGCTCCTTCACCGACCGCAACGTTTCTGTCCTGCAGTTGTTGGTTAACCAGATTGGCATCAGTTACTCCAACGCCCTGGCCATGAAAGCCGTCGAGAAGGTCTCCGCAGAAAACGTTTCCATGGTTGCACTGCAGAAACGTGCGCTGGCCAAGGCTCTCGAGGCAGAGACCAAGGCCAAACATGCTGAGGCGGAGGCCAAGCGCAATGTCAAGTTAGCCGAAGAGGCCGCCAAGGCCAAATCCATCTTTCTGGCCAACGTCTCTCACGAGCTGCGCACGCCTCTTAATGGTGTCATTGGGAACTCCGAACTGCTCAAGGACAGCGAATTGGACAAGGATCAGCAAGAAATGGCGGATAATATCAAGGTATCCGCAGAGCTTCTGCTCACTGTCATCAATGATATTCTCGACTTTTCCAGGATGGAGGCTGACAAGATGAAACTGTACGTCATCGCCTTCAACCCCGAGGAAATGGTCCGCGAGGTTGTGCGGGCCGTGTCTTACAGCAACCGGCAAAAGACGAAGCAGAAGAACGTCAAGATTATACAAGACATTAACCTGCCCTCGATGCTCATCTTTGGGGACCCTATCAGACTTCACCAAGTCTTGGGCAATCTCATCAGCAACAGTCTCAAGTTTACCGAGGACGGATCCATAACTATCGGGGCCCGTGTCGAATCAGAGACCAACGACAAAGCTACCCTCCTGTTTAGGGTGCAGGATACGGGCATCGGCATTCCTCAGCAGCAATTGGTCAAGCTCTTCCAGCCGTTCAGCCAGGCAGACACCAGCACGGCCCGCAAGTACGGCGGCAGCGGGCTCGGTCTGAGCATCTGCAAGTCTTTGATTGAAACAATGATGAAGGGTAAGATCCAGCTTGACAGTCAGGAAGGCGTAGGGACGACGGCTTGGTTCAAGGTCACCTTCGACAAGGCCAAGTCCGACGTATCCGCCGGCGACGCCCAGCAGATGAAATCCCCGCCAGCCGTCGAGCGCTCTGCCTACCTCGCAGAGCGTGATCCATCGCCGAATCCGTTTCTGGATCTTACCGCCATCTCCAAGGACCAGATCAGGATTTGCATCGCAGAGGACAACCCCATCAACCAGAAGATTGCCATTCAGTACGCGCAACGCCTGGGCTACACCACCGTCGATGCCTACGAAAACGGCCTCAAGGCCGTGGAAGGTTTGCGCCAGAAGGCGAGGGAGGGTCGGCCGTACCACGTGGTCCTCATGGATGTGCAGATGCCCGTGCTCGACGGCTACGAGGCGACCAAAATGATCCGCAAGGACCCCATAGACGTCGTGCGCAAGATACTCGTCATCGCCATGACAGCGTCGGCCATTCAGGGCGACCGCGAGAAGTGCCTGGCAGCAGGCATGAACGACTACCTCGCGAAGCCGGTGCGCTCCGAGGTGCTGAAGAAGAAGCTGGATACCTACGTCAGCCCCCAGGTATCCGTAAGCCAGACCCTGGTCGGGTTTTCGAGGCTCCCACGCTAACCGCCACTTAGACCGCTTCATCTTCCGACGCCGTACGCTCTTCTTCCACGTTACCGGCGTACGCCACTACTGATCTCAATGGGGCTGGGGCAAGCTTTCACCTGCCGATCAGGGAGAATCCGGCGTACAGTCGACCGTCGGGCAGCACCGCGGCGCCCAGTCGAATATCGAGCGACACAAGGTCGACTACTGATACAAGTTTGGTAGCCGAGACGCAGTCGCAGGCTCCCTCACAGAAACGCGCATCACGCAAACTCACCAAGACACGCACTAGCACCGAATCGCTGCCGGCAGAGAAGCCCAGAGCGGTCCTCACCAAGAAGGCGCCGCAACGCCAGGGGACAGCCTCGTCGATGGACGAGAACCTCAAGCCGGAGCTTGTCTCATACCACGCGAATAGCCGCAACAGCATGAGCTCGCAGGGGTCGAGCGGCAAAGACAAGATTATCCCCGGGTAAGGCATCATAAGCAGAAGACTTAAGCAAGAAAAGAGACCAGTCCATTCCAGCCCAAGCAGCTGCGGCTAAGTGGATACGGATTAGTAGTTCAAGAGGAAGGCTTATACCAACAAGAGATGGACGGTGATATGATTAGCCGGCGGTGTAAACACCGTGTTAACTAAACGATGGATTCGAACATATCCTGCCTGGTTTCACTTGAATTGGGCGCAGAGAAAGAACACAAGAGGGGAATAAAGAGACGTAGGAACGACATGTCTTTGACAGGTAGGAACAGGGAAGGCGTCCTGACACTTGATGATTTATTTCACTGTCACAAAGAATCTTGATTGGCTCTATCCAGCAGAGTGGAAGCAACAGGAGTTGAACGGTACCCTCAAGCATTCCGAATTGTTAAGGAACGCTTGTTTTCAATCATAGCATCATGGCAATGGCATACGGTCTAATCCGTCGGTAGTGAAGAGTGATCACCTAGGACGTGGGAGGCAAAGCGATTTTATTCTGCTGTATGTATGTACATATGGTGATCGACAGGCCATCTCCCGTGCTTCGCAGTTGCCTGGCTCGTTGTGTCTTGCTAGTGATCTGAGTGTGTAGCGGCGCTTTTAGCCTGTAACGTCCCGTACGTGGAAGAGGTCAGCAGACTGCGGCTTAGGCACGCCCTTGTTCGGGACCCCCTCCGTCTTCCTCTCCTGCAGTATGATCAGCCCAGCCTGCTGCAGGTAGTGCCGTTGACGTGCAGGAGATGTTTGAGACAGACGGGCATACTGACGAGAGCAGAGACGAGCCAGGATTGCAAGTCCTCTGCTGATGTTGTCTTAAGTGATGTGTCACTTGCACTCAACCCCTTTGGGAAGATGCACCAAAATCCCAGAACCAATCAATGCCGCATTCCCCATGCTGATCGGGGATCCAAGAAATTTCAAATCCCATGGCATGGGTCGGTCGTCTACCACATGTTTCGGCCACCGCTCTTTGAATTCGTGTCTCTCCCTCGATCAGAATCAATCTGCACCGTTCGGGCCATTGCTTTGCTCAGATCGAGAATTTTGGGGGGGGGGGGGGGGGGGGGGGGGGGTTGATTCAAAATGTCTTGGGTAGGCAAAGAGCCCCTCCCCCTCGAAACAGTCTTTCAACCCCCTGAGTCAGCCCTCGCCCATGCCTCCTTGGTGTGGTTTGGCGGCCTTCTCAGCTTGCCTTTCTCGGGAACTGGGTCGACACGCAATGTCCGTGGGGGTGGTCTCCCTGGTTCAAAGTCGGACCCAACATTGGGAACTTCGGATATGGGACTTGGGGAATTGGTGACTATGGTCAGTGGATGACGGGATCCGACCCCCGGATGTGGGTGCAAGCCCAATAGGTCTCCTTGTGGACTGGAACGGTGAGGTTTGAAACAGACGCAGCTGTACCGGGTTGGACGTCGGATACTGCTTCGTGCCATCTCATTTCACTGATGTTCTTATCACTTCGTCCATGTTACTCACGCAGTCTTGGAAGCTAAGGGAATCGAATACCACGATTGCACGTATTGGTCTTGCCTCAGGTCTCTCTATATCTCTCGTACAGCCTTGCAGGATCGAGAGGGGCTATGGAAAGGAGGAGAAGGCCAGGCTTTCAAACTCCAATGTACGGGACAGCGTCTCATACAACAACATGTAGAATGGAACAGTGGATAACTTTTGCTGGCCGAAGTCCTTCGCACCTGATATTGTCATTTGTTGGTGTTAATACCACAGTCTGGCCTTGTCCGACACGGATGCAGCCAGCAATGCCTCAATCAGGACTCTCCGTATCTGACCTGACACAGCCCGACAATGCTGTCCCATCAACGGCTAGCCCGCAACATTAGCCCTCTGGGAGAGGGAGGGGCTAGCCAGATAAGGAGGGTTCGTGATAAATGAAGGGAATTGCCCATCGTCATCAAACCAAGCAGGAACGAGTCGCAAAATGGCCTCATTTGCGAAGGCGAGGCCGGGAGACCCCCCGGCCCTTGGAAGAAGAGACCCGACTTACTCACAGCAAGCGGACCGCGACAATGAAGCCGCTGCGACATTTAAGCAACAGAATTTTGATGTCACTCGTTCGCCTACCCCCTGCTTGGGATGCGACGTTTACAAAGGGATGACAGCCAAGGGAGCAATTCTGCCTCGTCCATTCATGCTACTGGAGACCGCAGACGGTGAACTAAAGCGCTGCCGCACTTTCTTCCTCCTCTGCTTCTTTTCCCCCACATGGTTGCTCTGACTCCCATTTATTTCCCTATCGGTCTAGTGCAAACAACATTTAGAAACCCTGCATTACGGATGGCATCACCCGCGAGAGAGCCCGTCATCACTTGGTTGTTAGGCTAGGAATGGCTGGTTTCGTCAACCACGACCACTCGATATTTGGTGTACCGCCACTTTTTCGTCCCATGTCGAACACCCACCCACCTTGATCAGATCCCACTTGGGCCACCCTCAAGAGGAGGAAAAACTTCTCGGTTCATGTTATGCAAATACCATACCGTTTAGCTCAGATCACAGGCTCATCCCATGTTCAATAAACCTTCCCCGGGTTCACCCCTCACCCGTGTGCTTGCAGAGTTCCCTTGTCCGCAAGATCTTGGGCGAGTTCTTGTCGCCTGATGATCAGCCTAGCATTATATTTTCTTGAAGAGGTCTGGTGCATGATGCATCCTTTGAATACAAACGTCTGGTCCCAGAATTGAGGTGGAACAAGGCCGAGGAGAGACGAATAGTTAGCATGCGGGATTGATATGCCTCGCCGGACAGCTTCACGAGTTGATGACCTTTCGCTGGATGCTCAACTTCCTTTTGCTTCATGGCCAAGTCCCCGCTCTATCTGGGGCCGGTTCGTTGCTCATCACCCTAACGGTGGGGCAGTAAAGGGCAGGGTCTCGAGTTCCTTGACTGAGGTCCGATAACCGCCGGTGGAGGTGCTCATGCGTGCCATGGGGCCGTGTCAAGAGTACCTGTACACTTCTTGGCGGTCGGTTCGGGAGATAGCCTACTGCTAGGTATTCTTCTGATTGCGATTTCCATCTCTCCGCTTTCCCGGGCGGGTTTCAATTTCCCCTGCTGTGGGAAAACATACGAATGCTCATGTCTCCGCGTCGCCCCTTCTCCTTCCCCTGCTCTAGATATGTATTGCCTCCATCTGACTCTCTGTTCGGCATTGCTAACAACGTTTCGCTTGGTGGATGAACGGCAGAGAGCCGTCGGTGGGCGCGGCAGACCTGGACACGACGGAAGTCAAATATCGTTTCGCCCTTCGAGAGTACCTACCGTATCCACCGGCTTACTTCGAAATCCGCACTGACCATAGGTCGCTGGAAAAGAGCCTAGCGTGCTGGCAGAAACAGGGATCTGGAAGTGGCAAGGCAGGGGTTAGTCACATACGTCAGCAGGAAGCTTTGGTGTGAGTGACCACCACATAGGCTTGCGAAGTTGACGGTAACGGGTTGGCAAGGCAAGTAAGTGGGTGGACACGTGGGTTGACCGCCTTCTATAGTCGGACTAGCGCATAGTCAGTGCGGATTTCGAATCAAACCAGTGGATACGGTATAGCACCTCTGATGGACGACGTTGGGCACGGGTAGGGATATAGGATGTAAAAGATGCGACGAAACAAGACTCTGGACACAGAATGTCCACCCTGCCCTTTTCCCAGAGTAACTAGGTGCCGGTGCCGGTCCCGGTTGGCCGGATGTGGCATCCCTGTCGTGTGCTCAAGAGAAGTTGAGAAATTGAATTAATTTTACCCAGCATGGCGAAGGTTAGCGCAGTACTTATGTTTTCTGTTGAGGAGGGAAGCTTCCCAGGTACTGCGTTAACCTTCAACATTCTGGAGTAGGTTTATATTGTAGTCGACCTCTGCAAATATCATTTCCAGATCAGGGCATCGATAAAGGGGGTCGAGGGACGGCCTCGCCTCACTTGGAAACGTCCGCATAGCCAAAGTGGCACTAGCTAGCCCTGTCGTTGTCTCGTTAGGGCGCTGGCGCCCTGGATTATGTCTGGCCCTATTCAACTGCTCCTCGCAACGACTCTCCCAGCTTGGGTCGACACCGTGCCGGGATTGATTCACATGGGTGATGCTCCATGACAACAACCGCAGCCAAAGAGATTTCTGTCATTGGTTGATGCGGAGGCTGTGAGTAAACGTCTCGCAAAGCGGCCAAAACGTGGTGAGTTTGCCGTGATAGATGAGACGAAACTCAAATGGAGAAAGAAGAACTTGGATGCCACCAAGTGACCGTCCAGCCTGCATCTGCCAACAACACCTGCTCTTTGCTTGTGCATTCCCCCACTTGACGATAAATGAGGAAACGTCTGAACCGGACCTGGCGAGCGGGACAATCTCCTGCTCCGAGGATCCGAGGCGTGGTAGCATCCCTCACCATCCTCATCTATCTTCGACGCAAGCCTAGTGGGCATGTCAAGGAATGTTTGGGAAGAAGGTCATCAGTCCGTCCATCACTAAATGGGATGGGTAACCATGACTCCAGACGGGCCAGAGCACCCGTGTCTTTACCTAGTTCGTTTTGTGATGTCGAGCGAAAAGAGATGAGATGGATGAGGTAGGTAGGTAGGTAGGGCAGGCGGATTGGCTTTCTCCACCTAATAAACTTGTGACAAAAGCTAACATGCCGAATGCCGCAATCAGTCGAGCATCACGCCGCCAGCCACTCCTACCGAAACTTAGCCAACAAGCAGAGAGACTGGGAACCTGATAAGGGGTTCCCTGGTATCGCGGGATATCAAGGTTCTGAGGAGCAAAGAGCGGAAGATGGGGGAAAAAAGAAAAAACCTAGTCCATGATTGCAGGCCCTCTAGTCCTCGAGCCTGAGTCCGTACGATACGAATGAGCCGCTTGCCACCGTCATAACGGAGAGACCCGCCAGAAACGAAAAAGGAACAATTGGGACAGCTGCCGAACGCCAACAACGACTGATCGAGGTCGGACTTTTGCTTGATTCGGGGGCGGGATGGTTACTC